GAAGCGCCTGCTCTGCGAGGTGCCTGCTTGCTTTTGGCCTGAGTAGTACGATGCTTTCCTTCCGTCTCCGGGGACGGGGACAGGGAGCGGTCACGTTTTATCCCTCTAGAGAGGTTTGATCTGGCTAGCTGTTCTTCGAGCCTGATAATGTGGGTAGCAAGTGGATGTCAGTACAAGGAGACCAGCCAGGTTGTACAGTGTAGTATTTAACCATTAAATATTAAATGTGGATGTGCAATTATGTGACACAAGAATAACCGATCGCAGACCATACGGTAATGAGCCGGAGTCATGGAGTAATGAAAGGAAATGCAGAGGAGTAGGAGTAAGCTCGTAGGTATAGGGAAGTAGATACATATTATAGGTGGAGAGGACATATAGACACATAGCATGGGTGTGATATGGGGCCGCGTGGATGCGGGGCGTGGGTGTAGGTTACAGGCACGGGTTATGGGTGCAGGTTATGGGTGCAGGTTATGGGTGCGAGTTATGGGTGCAGGTTATGGGTGCAGAGGTATGGGTGCAGAAGGTATGGGTGCGGAGGTATGGGTGCGGGTTATGGGTGCAGAGGTATGGGTGCGGGTTATGGGTGCGGAGGTATGGGTGCAGGTTATGGGTGCGGAGGGGGTGCGTGAGGGTGCGCGGCATGTGTGCATGATGAGCACAGGGGCGCAAAGATGAGATGTGGGTTAATGACAGTGCGGTGTGAGATGTTGTCAGCTGCATGCCCCTCAGCTTGTGAATGAAATGGTGACTGACCGTTTAATGCCTTGGGCCTGACGGAGGTTGAGCACCTCGCTGTACATTTCATCCAGCCGTTTGTCATTGACAACACTGATGTCGAAGACTTCCTCGTCATTGGTGCTCTTGAGGTCTTCCATCCACCTACAGCGGATGCGCGCCTGGTACAGTAGAACAGCGGTTTCTCCCCCCTCTAGGTCGCTGATTGGGTGCTTGTCGAGCTCGAGAAAGAATACACCAAGGGCCATGACGTGTTCCTCGGGCCAGCCTGCGTCCACCATGGCCTCCAGCATGTAGTCCTTCTCCTTGATGATTTGGCGCCATTCGAGGTTCTCATCCTGGACGACCTTTGTGGATGGCTTGTACGCAGCGGCGGGTTTTGCCAGCACGTTCTCTCCGTCAGCCATCAGGGTGAAGGTGCCCCTCGCCACTGAGTATTCCGTCCTCTCGGCCTCAAGACAGGCCTCCTTGGTGAAATAGTAGAGCTCAACGTACTCGAGTTGTTCGATCTTGTGGATCGCATAGCGGGAAGGTCGACGAGATGACAACTTCGCGACCGTCTTGTTCGGGGTGAAGGATTTTATCTTGGGCCGTTTGTTCTCCCTCTCACGCTTCTCAGCTTCGGCGGCCTCTTGCTTTGCTTGCTCCTGAGCTGCCCTAGCTTCCTCTTCTTCTGCATGGTCTTGCTCGACCTGGGCGTTCCACGTGACTCTTTGCGTGTCGTTGTTCTGGGTCCAAGCATTTTGGGAGTCGGCTATGATAGCGTCCACTGTGCGCTCGGCGGTGGCTAAGGTGGCGTAAAGCGCCCGGAATTGTTCCGACTCGAAGTCGGGGGGTTGCACCAAGTGCGGGTCGGTCGTGGCGGCATGTGTGGCCTGAAGTTGCTTTAGGTAGAGTGAACAGCAGAGATACAGCGCGTGTTGGTAGATACGATGAGAAAAGAAAAGCCCGCAACGCTGGACTGCTCTCAGCGTGGGCAGCAGGTGGCAGTCGAGGAGAAAGAGGTTCTCCTCACCTAACACTGCCACCGCTGATGCATAGACCGCACCCTAACCCTACGCTCGTACCTCACTACGTTATAGGCCAAAATATGTCCGAACTCCCTGGATGTCGTATTCTAAAAATAGAACGTCATCCATCCACCCCGTCCCGCCCTCCGTGAGGTGCGCAAACACCGGAAATAGGTAAGAATGCATCCCGACATTATAATCCCAAAAGATGGGGCCGCCTGCTGTCCCCAACAGTGAGCTAGAGGCTACTTACACTTCCGGGCATCTCGGAGAGGCATTCTCCTGCGTCGTACCCGATTTGGAAGCTTTCCCACGCCCTGTCCCGCCCCCAACGACGGCGAGCACCCTATTCAATGTCCCCAAGCATTGTTTGGTCATTGTTTACTGCCCCCACAGCCTTGGCAGACAGTCCCGGGCCCCGGCAAACCCAGCAGCACATATAAAAAGGCCTGGCTGCCTACTGGCAGCTATGATTTATGAACGAGAATTGCCAGTAGCCTATAATTGATACATACTGTAGATGACCGGCATCTCAGTCACCCTACAGTCTCCTAAAATTTGTGTGCTTGGTTTGGGGGTGTTAAAAAAACTGACAGTACTACTCAATAGGCAAGCATCTGAAGTACCTGTGTACCAATTATCAGAAATTTAAGGGAGGGTTTGAGACCTCCACGAATATTTTATTTCGATAGGTCAAAATCGGTCAAACCAGGAAGTCGGCCAGGCCCCGAGACTAGACCGATTTGTATTGGTCCCATACACCAGTTGTAACCAGGGTCAGTTATGCTTAGTAAGCTGATGATAAGATAACCTCGGAATACGAGGACAGTACTCGGCCACCTTGAATTGCTCTTCAAAGTTGGTCTGACCTAAACAAAAAAATGCTTCCAGTGAAAGTTAGACACCTCTATCATGAGCTGGTCTTCTTATTTCGTGATTTCTGATGTTTTCCTTTCAGTTATTTAATTTGACATTTCTCATCACTCAAAACAAGAATTTTCAATTGCTTGGTGTCTTATGTTTGGAAGAAATTTGTAAAAATTAGGGGATCTTCTTTTATACACACATATTTGCCTCACAATTCATTTCACCTCTTTGTTTATGCAATAGATGCTTTGTACTAAGAGAAATCAGCAGGAACAGTCCAATCCACCTCCAAAATGACACACTCTCCAATTTTCAAGGTTGGAAGTGCAGCAATCCTTCAACTTGCTTAATTATAAAGTAGTCACTATGAAATTCTTAAGTCCAAAGTATCTTCCTGGCAATGTGTCATGTTGTCGAGAAAAGCCCTCCGGGACCACCAGAAACATGGTATCAAATAAGGAAATTGGGTGTCACGTGTCACCAGACACAAGGGGAGGCTCATTTCTCCGCAAGGAATGGTGTTCTGTCTGCCAAAAAATGCAGTTACATTGCTCTGATACTATTATACATGAGTGCACAAAAAGAATGGAGTGAAATGAGCAACTGTGCCATCTACAAAGGCAATGACCGAGTAGCTGGTGTGACCGAGTAACTGGTTACGGACAGTAACTCTGGCTGTTACAAGTGAACGCCTTTCGCGCAGCGGGCGATGGTGTCTTCACTTTCGAGTTCGGACCCTAGCAGGAGCTGGATAGCCTGCCAAAGCGCTTCGTCTGCTTCTCGAAGCCAGGGCAGCACCGTTGTCCTGTAGGCAAAGGCCCGGTCTTCAGAATCCAGGAGCAGTGCAGGCCGCTCCTGTGCTCTTAGTGGGCATGAGCCCAGTTTGTATCGGTATGGAGGGCGGCACGGCATACCTATTGTAGTATACAGGGTAGAAGTGCTTTACATACTCTGTGATAGAGCCATCGTCGTAGGCGCGGGAGACTAGCTCCCTATCCTGCAGGGAAGGAAGCCTGCCGTGCCATCCAGTTGAGGCTGCCAAGCCGTTGGCCTCCAGAGAGAACCCGTCGCTCTGAACGAACGCGGAGGTGGACTGAAGACGCCTGTGCAGGGTTAGTCTCTGCACCTCCTTCACATTGCCCTCCGCCTTCTTCAACACTCTTCCCCTCCTGGGTCTGCGCTTGCTTGACCCCTTCCCCCTCTGGCTTCGCTTCTTTGGAACGGAGCCCAGCGCTGCTTCAGGAGGCCGAGAGGTTGTGGGCCGGGGCAGGAGGAGGCTGGAGGTAGAGAAGGCAGAGCTCTGAGGGGTACAAGCTCACCTCCAGCGAGGGGGGTAGCCCTCCTCTTTGTCCTCTACAGCAGAACATGCACCTTCTTCGCAGCCAGAGACAGCGTCGAGCTCCTGCAGTGCTTCAGGAAAGTCTTCGATGTCCAGAGCAGATGGCGTGGTGCCTGCAGCTGGGGCTTGGAAGGCGGAGAAGTCGCAGTCGAATGGCTCCAGGTGTATCTCCAGCCTCTTCAACTCCTCGAGATACACCCTCTCCAGACTCTGCAGGGAATAGGCGCAGCGGAGCTGGAGAGGGACAGCCTCCAGCCACTCTGGATCGACACAAAGACGCTCAGCACGGGGCATTGCTCAGCAGCAGCGCATGTCTTGGGCTTGTGGAGTAGGCAGGGCATCCATTCGAGTTCCTTAGTCCCTCTGCTCAGCAGTAGGCGTTGCTCGGCAAAGAGGATGGGGCTCTCGAAGGGTATCTTGCACAGAGAAAGAGGGGAGACGCTGGAGTTCTTGTGGCTGAGGGTCTACAGCATCAGCACTGCAGTTCCTTCAGGGGTCTCAACGCACCTCGTCTGTGCCAGTTGGAGCTGCTGGTGCCAGTGAGACCGACAACAGCACGTGTATTTGAGGCGCCGACGTGGATCAAGCTGTTGAGTGGTGGGATTAAACAAACAACGATGTGTGAAGGACACGTTTAATAGGGACTAGTCACGTGTAGCGTGACTACACATGATCACTGATGGCAGTGAGATTAGATCATGAAATCGAACTACCCCATCTTCCTCTCTCCTGCCAGTCTCCGACTACGCCAGCGGAACCACAACACCTGCCTGGACTCTGTGGGTTGTACCTGCATGTCCACCCTGCTGCAACCAAGGTATTCTGGGTCTTACTCAGACTATCCTTGCCGGCTCCTCTTGCATCTCGCCCCACTTCTGGTATCTCTTTCGCTGGCTTCGACTCTTTCGACTAGGTGTGCTGCGGTTTCGAGTTCAGCCACAATAGACTGGCCTTCTACCTGCCACCAACGTCTCGCTGCCACCATCGCCCCCACGAATCCGTCTTCAGCATCGCGTCCGTCTCATCCTATGGCTACGTCATCCACAACGATGTTGTCGGAGCAGATGCTTGGGAGGGCAAGGCCAAAGCCTATGTACGAGGATGAAGAAGGTATGTTACTCTCTTCCATTTCCTTTTGTTTCATGTTTTCCTGTCGAATGTCGATGTTCTAACATTTATTTCGTGTTGTAGGTGTCCTATCTATTCTCGACGCTGCTACCAACGACCTGGCGTTGCTCATCAACAACTTGGACCTTCAAGCTACACCTGGTACTCCAGATCTGATGCCACTTCGCCCATCTCCTCTTTCGACTGTTGAGAAGGATGCATCCGACTCTGCATCTCTCTCCCTCCCAGGTTCTACAGAGAGCAATGACAGCCCTGCGCCCAAGTCCAGCAGGAGATGTGCAACCGTTGCCGACAGCCCGCTCAAATGCACTCTTCACGGAAGCATGGCATCTTTCAGCTCGTTGATGCCGTACGCCCAGTCTCGCGGTAGGCCAAAGTCGGAGCAGGACATGGCCAATGCAGCTAACTACGGAGATTGGCGTTCTGTCCGAGTAAGGGGGAGTGTTGGAATAGAACCAAATAGTTGGTACTCAGACATTCCGCCCTCGAAGAGTCGTCTCCCGACTCCTCGAGTACATTCTCATTTATTTCCCTTAATGGACAATTACTTAGAATAGTATTTATTAGAATATTCTAGTTACTTTGTACGTAGGTATATAAGCCCTCTCAACGGACGCTAAATGCCAATCGTGTCTTAACCACTTACCACCACCACTGCACCAACACTGTCTTCCACAGCATCCTCATCCTCCCAGCTGGGTAAAGGGTACACTTTTGACTCATATTGGTCATAATCATGAAACTGCCTGAAGGTAGCCTGAGTGCATTGAATCCATAACATTAAAGGTCAATTGTCCAGGAAACCCAAGCCTTTGATCTGAGTGTCTGAGTTCCTCATAAGCAGCCTTGTCTTCGCCTTGCCACCAACAACGACGCCGCGTGTGTGCTGACGTTCCTCGAAGACAGATGTTATGACATCAACGAGGTGCGCCTGAGAGAAGTTGACAGGGAGGTATTGCAAGGCAAAGAAAAGAATCACGTAGAAAAAAGATTCAAGGTCGTCCTGCAAGTCGTGCAGCTTTCAAGGAGATCTCAACAGCAAGGCCGACAGGTATTGCCATGTACCCTGAACAAGAAGTCAGAAAACGTCACTGGCACACATGTTGGAAACTCACTACACAATATGATATACTTCTCTTCATTGGAGGGGCTTCATCACCAGCATTGTTTCCTTGAGAGTTCTCCTTTGGGGGGTTCTCTCCTCGTCGCTCAGGCATCGAAAAATAGGACATAACACCTCTGGCGATATCCCAGTCATTCAGTATACCCTTCCTGGAGTCCGTCATCGTGATATTGCTTTTGCTGACGTCACGATGCAGGATACCGCAGAGCCTGTAGGCGGTTTCATGCGCTTGCCAGTGATGATGACCGTGAAAATAAATATCGCGTAGGGATGTAGAAACGCACCTATCAACGTGTCATGAATGGCCGTCATCAACTGCTTTGGAGTCTCGAATGTCTTGAGGCTCCTCGAAACAGAGGGATTTGTGAATCAATAATAAACCATCCTTGAATACCTGGTAGACCTTGGTACCAAAACGCAGCTGTCATTGTTCTTGTTCATTGAAAAGGCCAGAGCTGAAGAAGAATGAACAGAAATGTGATTCTGCAAACAGAGAGCATCTTTTCACTCCAAGACCAAGACCTCCGATCCGAGTTCGGAATTGGTGCGAGCAAGGTAGGTTGGATACAACTAAGTGGACTGCTCAGCGCCGCTGAGAACCTTCAGGCACTGAAGTACAACAATCTCGAAGCCGAGTGTGTGTTAAGCGGGTAAGAAAGAAACGCTTCAATAGCGCTCGAAGGCGTGTTGAAATGTCTGGAAAAGAGAGCAGGATTTAGAGCCAAGGGCCATGCCGTGGCCACAACATGTGCATCATGCGTCTTTGCCTGCCCTAAACTGTCATGCTGCGTGTCGTGCCAGGTCGCGCCCATTTCGATCGCTGATTCGACACTTCACTACCTAGTTGGAATATCCTGAACTTGTATTGTCGCAATTAAATGTTCAGTGGACTCTGACTCTGAGAAGCTGCACACCCTTGTATGGTCAACGAGGGTCAACGGGACCGCCTTCAAGCTTCAGCTTTCATACCCAGCTTTGAAAGAAAAAGAACAAATGAATAAGAACCACTTTCAACCATGGGAGTACATCACGGTACTTGGAGAATACTCTATAAGAATACAAGGCCAGAGAACCAACGTCTACCAACATTCAATGAGCGATCTTACCCTCCTCACCATCTCAGTGCACAGCCTCGTGCTGCCAGCAGACTGACTGCTTGCTTGGAATGGTGCTCGAATTGACACTGCCTTGGCTCATAACAATTTCAGATTTTAAGGACCTCTCCGATGCGGATGCTTCGTCTCATTCGTGCATCCACTTGGTCCCAGGACGCTGCTTCGCCAGTTCGGAATTGACGAATTGGTGCATGGCAGCCCTAGTGTGATGCAAGTCGGACCAATCTTCCAAAGCGAGTACATCCTCAAATATTTTGAGAAAGTGGTCGTGATCACAAAGGTAGATGTGGCCCGCTGCAAGCATAGTCGGCCTCTCGTTTGCTAGGTTGATGCTGTGAGCAGAATTGGCTGGATTCATTATTCTTGCTCTGGTAGCCCTCCTTTGCTCTTTGTAGAGATAATTGTGGAATTGCTCAAAGGCATCCCAGGACTGCTCCATCCAGGCGTTCATGGGAGAGTTCGCCAAGAACATGAAGTTCACAAGCGGAGAATCTCCAGCCAAAAGCAATCTTGCCTTTGCGTGACCGCCAACGACCATCCCGAGGGTAGGGTCAAATTTGGATTCTTCAAAGATAGACTCCATGAGATCTACAAGTTCCACTTGGGAGAACCTGACTGGCAGATATTGCAGCGTGAAGAAAAGGATGACGTAGAAGAAAGATTCAAGGTCATCCTGCAAGTCGCTCAAACATAAGCTTGACATGTACTGCCATGTACCCTGGGTGAGATATCAGAGGATTTAAATAGCAAGGAACCATGAAACCTACTAGACAAAAGACATTTCTTCATAGTCAAAAACTGTCTACTCTCAGACCGTCGCCTCCATATCCATATCTCTCCGTTGCGCAACTCTCTTCTCTTGTCTTTGGGTTAGAAGAGGGAGTCATTTCATCGGCCACATCCCAGTCACTCAGTACACCAGTACCAGCCTCTGTCATCATAATGTTGCTCTCGCTGATATCGCCATGCAGAATTCCACACCGCGCGTAGGCAGCTTTGTGCACTAGAATGGAGACTGTCAATATACCTCTCGAGAAGTCATGTAAAAATGCACTTATCAACACATGCTGAATAGCCGCCATTAGCTGCTTAGGGGTCTCAAAGGTATGAAGGCTCTTTGTGGCAGAGGCATTCGTGAAGCGATAATACACTGCTCTCAATGCCGAGTGGTCGATGTCCTTGGTATCAAAACACTGGTACCGTCATCGTTCTTGCTGATCAAACCAGCCGGAGCAGCAGAGAAATGAGAAATGAGAGTCTGCGTATAGAGAGTATTCCTCCATTCTGGGACCACGATCCCTGATTCGAGCTTGGTGCGAACGAGGTAGGTTGGATGTAGGAGATACGACTGCACAGTGGCAAGAGCCTTGCGGTGTTTGAATCGAATAGTCTAGACATCAGGTGCTTCCATCCTGAGACACGCACAACGATAGACATATAAGAAAGTGACAACCAACACTCGACTTGTAGCACTCAAAGGCACGCTGGATGTCCAGAAGAGGTGACAGGATTTAGAACCAAGACAAACCCAGCCCGAATGGTGGGGCATGGCACGTGGATAGTTGCGCATCTTTGCCTACTCTAAACTGTCAGGGGAAATTGGTAGGTTGCTCGAACGCGTTGTTATAACTTCGACCGCTTCACCTCCTAGATGAAAAATAAGAGGATAAAATATCCTGGTTTTTACTTTTACATTTCAATGCTCGGGCTCCTGTGTGGTCAACTAACGCTTTTCATATTCAGTTTTGAAAGAAAAGAACAAATGGGTAGGAGCCACTCTCAACTATGAGGGTACATCGTAGCAATGGAAGATACTCTTTATAGTTGGAGAAGTGTAATACAAGGGGTTCAATGTTCAACGTTCAATGAGTTCAACGAGCGGCAAAAGCCCCGCTCTAAGATCTTGCCTTCCGAGTCGCCACCTCAGCGTCGCGCTGGCAAACTGACTGTTTGCTTGGACCGGTGCTCGAAATGACACCACCTTAGCGGCGCATAATATCCTCACATGTGGACCCTTTCAATGTGTACGCTTTGCCTCCTTCACACGGAGCCAGTTAGGAATAGACGAATTAGTGTGCAGCAGCCGTTGGTTTGCGCGCCTGTGACCACTCTTCCAAAGCAAGGACATCTTTGAAAATCTTGAAGAAATGGCTGTGATCCCGAAGGCGAATATGTGGTGCGAGTGTAGGCATCTGGGTTGTCTGCTGGACCTCCTGAGTGAGAATGGCTGAGTCGGACATCCTCGCTCTCAAAACTTTTAGTTTTTCGTCTTCAATATACCAATGGAGCTCCTCAAATGCAAGCCACGAAGCTCGCATCCAGGAGTTTACTGGAGGATTGTCTATGGAGACCAAGCAGAAGAACGAGGTGTCCGCACCAGCAAGTAGCCTCGCCTTTGCCTGACCACCAATATTAATGCCGAGTGCGTACATAGGGGTGCATTCCTCGAAGATAGCCTTCATGAGGTCGACGAGTTCCAGCTGGGAAATACTGATGGGGAGATATTGCAGTGTGTAGAAAAGGACGACGTAGAAGAAAAATTCAAGGTTATCCTGCAGGTCATGCACCTTTCTAGGAAATCTCAGATGGAGGGTTGACATGTATTGCCATGTGCCCTGGGTAAGATATCAGAGGATTTAAATAGAAAAGAATTCTGAAACCCACTGTACAAGGGATATTTATTTTCAGTTGAAGGCCATCTATTAGGCTTAGATCGTCACCTCCAGAGTTCTCCTTTGCGCAGCTCTCTTCTCTTGTCTTCAGGATGGACGAGTAGGGAGTCACTCCATAGGCCATATCCCAGTCATTAAGTACACCAGGACCGGCCTCTGTTATCATAATGTTGCTCTCGCTGATATCGCCATGCAGGATCTTGCACAGCCTGTAAGCAGATTCATGCGCTTAAACGACGACCTTTAATTTGAGTAGCGAGAAATCGAAGGGTACAAAACTCACCTCTTAGCACGTGGTGGATGACCGTCATCAACTGCTTCGGAGTCTCAAAGGTTTGGAGGCTCTTTGTGGCAGAGGAAATTGCGAGGCAATAATGGCCCGCTCTCGAATGTCGAGTAGTTCTTGGTATCAAGACGTCAATGCTATCGTTCGTGTTCATTGAACTATCCATAATCATAGCAGGAGAAAGATCGGAATTGTGTCACGCAGAAAGTGCCCTTTCACTGCAAAGCCACGACCTTTGATCCAAGAGGTTCGCTGCGAACAGGGTATTTTGAGTGTGATAGGGACTGGGGGGTCGATTCCTTGGTGGGAACGTTCTGCTGCTTGGATACAGCCGAAAATGCTCAGAGACACGGAAGACACATTGACTCACGGAATTATTGTAAGGGGCGTATGGCAGTTTGTGGAAGAGGAGTGTAAGCATTGACCAAATTGCGGGCCACCTTCTATTAGCCGGGGCCGGGTGAGGTGTAACCCGGCATGGACTTGGGAACATGAACATTGGGGCTCGAATATTGTGTCGCCGCTTTGAATTCATAGAAACTTATCAAGGGCAAAAAATCAAGTTCCTACAAGTGACTTAATACATAATAAGTACAAAAATCCAATAACGTAGTACAGCAGAAAGAAATACATGGATGTGTAAGGAGATCGACTAAGCACGAGCGCCTTTCTTAGACCTAGCTGCTTTCACCTTCTTCTTCTCTTTCTGGTGAATCGAGCGCCTCTTCGGGTTGGTAATCAAGTTGATTAATTTTTTTTTTTTTTTAATAATGCCTCTTGATTTTTCTACGAGAGCCCCTTCATACGAGACCCACAACTTTTACGTTCAACTCTCGGGTTACATCAACGGCGTGACCTAATACTACTTTAAGTGTCCGTTAATCATACCATTTATCGTGACATCCCAAAACTTTATACTAATCAAGGCTGTGATGTGACTATTTCAAAGTCATACAAATCCCGTTTTCCACGCACTAAACATCCAGATTCCCGGAAGCAGTCCCCTCCTGGTGACATCCAATCACAGCATATAGCTTGTTCCATCATCCACATGCCACACACTACTTCGGCAGCTCGTGTTAGGAGATGACTTTAGTCGTTTCGTGTTGTTTCACTCCCACCCTCTGGTACTTTAGGTAGTAACGCCGTGGGGTCGGCTTTAGCCGTCTCGCCGGTCTTCTGGCAGATCCGAAGACCTTGTCCTTTGGCTCCCAATTTCCCTTCCTGGCCTAGCCATCTTTTCAATAACTAGGGAGAATCCGGCTGACCTTGAAATCGTTATATGGACATATCTGGGTCAGGTCTGTCCCAGGCCCTTGGGCCGGATTGTCGCCGAGACGTAGTCGGCTCCCCAAGGTAGCGGTCCTTACGGTGTCTCCCGGGGGCGTGGAAAAGTCACATGGTGTCTAAGGTGTTTTTATCCATGCAACCAGCGAGAACCGAACTCAAGAGCTCAGCGCAAGCCTGGGGGTAAGTCCGCGATAGTGCCACCTGAGCTACCACAGCCCCGTAATCGAGTTGATTCCCCCTTGGTTGGACATGGTATATTCGGATCTCGACCTTTTTGAAGCAGTCGACACCTCCTCTCCTTCGCGCACACGTTTGAGCCCAGCCTGCGTCTCTGTCGGATCAGAAGCAGTAAACCGATGGACGGCGGCCGTCTGCTTGCGATAGTCCGACCAATGTTCTCGATTGAGTGCCTTTTCGAAGATTTGGAGGAAAGAGTTGTGGTCGCGAAGATTGATGTTGACTGGTAGGGGTATTTGACGTTGTGGTGTAAATGGGACCTGGGCCGAGTCATCTTCTGTCTCATAGTCCGCGTCATCCTCTGAGTCATGTAATGGGGTTGGCTGCAGAGACCTGCTGCGAGATTTCCTGTGCGACGTGCGCGTGGTATTGTCGGAATACGTCCCCTGCTCTCTGGAACCAACGTGTTAAAGAGCGATTGCCGGGGAAAAGCAATGTCCGAAGCTTCGAGTCATCATCCATTATCAAGTGTTTCTTCGCTATGCCACCGACATCAACCCCAAGGTCGCGGTCAAGTCTGCATTCCTCGAAGACAGACTGCATGAGGTCGACGAGTGCTGCCTGAGACAAGTTGACCGGGAGGTATTGCAACGTGAAGAAAAGAACGACGTAGAAGAAAGATTCGAGGTCATCCTGTAAGTCGTGAACCTTCTCAGGATACCGCAAAATCAAGGAAGACATAAAGTACCACGTCCCCTAAGACACTGTCAGATACTATTAATGTGATTGAAAGATTATAACACTTACCGTGCGATATGTATGCCTTGAAAATTCATCGAGGTCAACCCCTTCGTCGTCTTCTTCGTTCCCCTCATCATCGTCGTCGTCATGTTCCTCGAGTGCTGGCAGATCCTCTGCATCCCCCTCCTCATCTTCTGGCCCCTCGTCGCTGGGCTGATCCTCCTCATCTACAGCTCCATTTTCTGCAGCAGCCTTGGGGCGCGATGGGTGACTTTGTATCCTTTTTGCCAAATCCCAGTCATTCAAGCACCCATTTTCCTCGTCGTCCATCATGACATTGTTTCCACTAACGTCACGGTGGAAGATACCACATATCTCATAGGCGTCCTGATGGGCTTTTGTAACGAAAGTCAATAGAGAGAAGCCCTGAAACATGATGGAAAGACATACCAATCAATGCATGGCTGACAGCTCTTAGCAAGTTCTTCGGAGTTGTGAATTTGTCGAGGTGGTTTCCAACGAAGAGCTCCGTGAACCGATGGTGCGTCTTCCTGAACACGTCTCGCAGAGGGCCTGCCCGCCACGACGCGTTGACGTATCTATGATTGTTTGTGGTATGGTACGGCTGCTTGATGTCGTCGCCGTACTGGAACTTCGGCACATACCGCACACCCTTGTCGTTCAGCTCCTTCAAAATGTCCGACTCCTTCTCCATCCCGCTTAGGTCGGCACGCCAAGTCTCCTTTAAAAACACGACATCCCCCGTTTCCAGATCCACAGCAGGGTAAGCGCGAGTCGATCGGCCATGGAGAGTTTTGGGTTCTGCCATGGCCCCCCAGACAGCAAATTCATGCATCTCGCCATCCGGTTTTGGCACGCCCATAACGAGAACAGGGCGGTGCTTCTTTGGCGCCCACCTCTCCAACTTCTCCATTGCAATATCCCTCTCGTCCGAGGTGGCCAGCCGAACAGTCTCGTCGATCCCGCGCTGTGCAGGCGTCATGCGAGCAAAGCGCCAGAAGAACTCGGCCAGGACGCCAGACTCTTCACGGTAGTTGACCGCCCGGGTGACAAGTGTAGCGCAACGGTCGTGGAGGAGGAAACGGACTTCCTTCTCGTTCATGAAGACGAAAAAGGCGCGCGTACGGTGCTGGCGCGCACAGATCTCGGTCAGTGCAGCCCCGATCTGGCCGCGTGCTTGAGTACCTTCCTCTGTCTTGTTCTCAAACTGGAACTTCCGAAGCGCTTCCCCGCTGAGCTCTTTTGGAGGATCGTTGAATGGAGAGACGTCATCCAACTTCATCTCGATGCAAAGCTGGCTTCTGTCAAAGAATGTGTTGTTGTCGGGGTTTCGTTCCTTGATCGAATCCTTCGTTTTCGTGGGTTTGTAGTCCTCATCACGAGGATTTTCTTTGCAGAAGTCCTCCTTGAGATAACAAGTGACGTCGGGTTTCCACTGTGCATCGACGTAGGAGTTGAAATCTGCGTGGTTGGATGTGTTCACGAGTACGCATGTCGGATCCAGAAGTTTGGCGTTGGCTACTAGTTTAATCTGAAGCAACGTCTCAGTATAGTGTACACGAATTTTTGTATAGACGGCTTACCAGTGGATCGTACATGTCTTTCTCAGCCTTGTCTTTGCCTGCGGGCATCGTGTCGAAGTAGTTCGCCGCGACGAGATTTCCGGGGACTGGCTCGTCGACACTCATATGCTCTGCAAAGAACCTCTCGTGTGAGATAGGGCCCACACATTGTCCTTTGGTGTCGCGCGCCATTTGTCCGATATTGTTCGTAGCCGAGAACGGGGCCGCAGGGAGGAGTTGCTGCAAGGTTCTTGTGACGAGGGGTGTCTCGCACAGAAGACGCTGGGGGAGGGTTGTCTGCACCATGAGGAGTGGTTGGACGCATATTCACGGTTGTAAGTAAGGAAGCAACTCACGAGTGATTTGGTTTTATAACACGCAAGCCGGGCCACAATTCGGTGGAAGTCGTCGAAAGCCACTTGCGCTTTGCAGAAATAGCCAAGAGCCACTGTCAACAATAAAGATATATGAGTCATTTTCATGCAAATGTTACAATTCGAGGCTTACCTGTGAGCGTTTAAACAATGGAAGTGCAGTGTGTCGCCCTCGTCGTGGTTCGAAATCAAGGAGATTTGTCCGAATCGGGAAGCGAGTGGATTTCGCGGTCACGTGATTGTTAGGGCAGGCTTGAACGCATCACCGTTCTTGGCCAATCCCATCAAAAATCTCACAACAAGACGAACAGGCGTTCATCAGGAGAGCCTGCAGTCGAAGAGGAAAAGTTGTCTAAGTAAGCAAACAGAATTACGAAACGATTTATCCACCGTTCACAGGCGGCGCGTCAATTCCGCGTCAACACCATTGGTATAGACATAACCCCGGGGCTCTCAGGTGAACGTTGGTTTTGAACGACAGTTATATTATTATTAGGTTCTAAATATTCGTCACTGTAAGAGAAGGACGTTACGGAAGTGGACGTTCCATGTAGTCGAAGAATCAGATAAGTGGCCCATGCCTATTGTTTTTGAACAAGGGGTGGGTAGAGAAACAAAAGTTAAAGGACTATCTGGAATGAGATGCGAACAATCGAAGTAAATGTAGAATTATTTGATTTAGTCTGGGTTGTAGGCGCATGAAGCAGGAGATATCGACTGCGCAGAATCGACTCTCCAGATGGAGGTCTAGTGTTATGTGGTCTGTCTATCTTGGTCCGTCTTCTCGCCCTCTCTCTTCATATCCAGTGCTCTCCATTATCACATTTAATCCTTGTGCCTTCATATTTTTGGGCTCTCTTCTATGTTTCATGATGTTTTAAATTCGTTTTGATTTTATGTTTTTGTCTTCACCAAGGAGAGGCTTCGGACGGCAACACTGCTTACAACACCGCAGAGGAACCACTGCACCAGGTCATCAGCCTGTGTGCACACGTTCTTGGAGTGGTGCGCGCCGTCTCAGGCGCCGTCCAGCGTTGGTGGAGTACGTATAGGTTCGTGTCAGCCGTCGTGCGCATGGTTAGGTCATGTCACAGTCGCTGTAGCGAATCCTTCCTGGACAACCCCCGCGGCTTTCTGGCGTCGAGCATCCTTGGGCTTTGTGAATATTTGAGGAAAGGCAGATAGGGATCCGGCCTGGGCTCCAGTGAGTACGCAACGACTAGAGACTAGCAGGCAAAATTACCATCGAGATCCCCGACTACCGCATGGCAGAAGGCAATTCGACAAGGGCCAACGCGTCGTTGATGCCGCCGCCGACGTCGATGACTTCAAGGTCGTGTTGAACATTGCGGCTTTCTACTTGCATTCGAGAGGACAGCAATGAACGGCGTTGTGTAGTATGTTTTGAGACTTGGTTGGGCGTAGTAGGTGTTCTCGACGACGCGACGGCTCTGCTGAAGTGCGTCAGACATGTTGTTTTCGAAGGCTGGTTAGCGGAGGCTGGCTCGCAGTAGGAGGAGAGCCGTCGCCGTTGACATCTTGCAACGCCAATGAAGTTAGGGTTCTGGAAGTATGGTGGGCATAGTTTGAGACTGGAGAAGATAAGAATCAACCCTATTGAACTTGGCGGGAGATAATAAGGGAACGCACACAAAATATGGTGCAAGATGGTGTTGAACGCATCAGGGGGAGGTGGTGTAGACGTCGACGATGTCGGCCGTGTCTGAAAAGGATATTAGCCAAGGCGGGATACCTACAAGGACAAATGAACGCACCATGAATGACCAGCGACAACGCCGAGCGTTAGCCGCGATGTGATACAACGGAGACGACGAGAGGCCATGGCGAGCCCGACATAGGACGAGAGTGAGGGGAGTTTTGGCGGAATCGCCTAGGGCGAGCGTTGATGATGGACGAGAGATGGTGGCGGTCCTGAAGAAAGAAGGACGAGGAGGGGGAAAAGGTTTATATATACTTCGGATAGCTTGTGTTTGTCAGCCACGATCGGAGGCTGCGCTCGTCTGGCGGACTGGTTCAGGCGGCCAAAAGGTGGCTGACGGTCAGACGTCCAAGTAAGGCGAATTTTCAATGCGCCCGCATCGTCGTGGTTTGTACTATCGTCTTGTGCGTCCGTTTGGCTTTTGTTTATTTATTTGACGTTCTTTCGAACTCTCAAGAAGAACGCCATACGAGAGTCTCCTGAAACATTCAAGGAGGGACCTAAGCAAATGTATTAGCAGAGGAGTGGACAAGAATAACGAACAGCAGTCAGGCGACGCGATGTGCCCTCATATTAGGCAGGATTGTATATCTTGGTTCAGGATGAGCCTATGCCGCGAAACACTGACCAGCCTCCGATTGTTATACCTCCCTGAAATAGATGGGCGTCAAGATCATTGAAGGGGAGGTGGGCGCTGCTCTTGCAGCTCGCACAAGTCTGATGGATTTTTTAAAATAGTAACGCCTTCTATTTTAATTTCACCCAGGGTGAAACCTGGAATTCATGAGCATTGCGGTTCTTCTGGAAGAGATACGCATTCAAGCGCCCGTTTTACTAATTAGGTTTTACCCCTAATTTAATGTTTAGGGCCGGTCACCTGGTGTTCTCGTCACTCACTTTCCCACCGCGTTGTCCTTGATGCCAACCATGTCAGACACACCGTCCATCTTCACCAAAACCTCTGCTTTTTCGTTGGGAGGTGTCCTCGCTCTTGGAACAGTCGCCTACGTCAGCTCCAGGGTATTCCTCCCGAAGAACGCGAAATGGCAGGACCGCTTTACCTTCATCTGGCTCGTGAGCGCCCACCTTCCATCTCTTTGGTACTACTTTCCGGGACTGACGAGTATCCGACAGGCTTTTGACGCCCTCATCCACTTCATATTTGAGGGTTCCTTCCTTTGGTCGTCGACGTTCGGACGCCAGGTCAACACGGAGACTCATATGTTTGGGGCCATGTGTGGGTGCTGAGGCGGCATTGAGGCATGCAAGAAGGAATAACCACGCTCTATAGGGAGAGAATACGCTGCTGCCGACTTCAGATGGGGTGTCTCCGACCCTACGATCGTCTCGCTTGAAATCCTGACGGTGTTCGGTGCTGGCTTCCTTTGCTGCTACATCTTGAACCAGCTTGCCAACAACGACCCTGCCCGTCACTATTGGTTAATTGTGTTGAGCACAGCTGAGATCTATGGCGGGTGCGTTGTTCTATGCTATATGGAGGGAGTCATGATATCGACCGTTTTTCGTAGCTGGATGACATTCTGCCCTGAATGGCTCACTGGAAGCCCGAACTTGAACACGTCGAATTTCTTGTACCTTTGGGTGTACCTATTCGTGAGTCAGATCATTATTATTAATTCGCTGCCAGGTTTCACGACCAACCCATCATGATTCCACATGTTACAGCTGATGAATGTTATGTGAGTGTCCTCTTGAGCGGTTCTTCGCGTTCTAACGTCGACGTGCCTATCTTCAGTTGGGTTGTCATTCCTCTCTGGCTGATGTATGATTCATATACGCACATTTCTGGAGCACTTCGTTCTACCGCCCCAAAAGTCAAGGCAGCTTGACCATCGTTTGTACGCACAATGTCTGGATATATCTTTGCTCTATCTTGAATATACTAATTAAATTCAATCAACGAGTTCAAGGGCACACCCCCAATCCTGGGACCGAATTTGCACATCTCGTTTGACGTTCTGATATCCTCCCTATTCTATGTCCTCGAATGCACATCCTCTGGAATGAACCATATGGCTTCCCGGCATGCCATCCAATCTAACAAATGATTTGTCTTCACAGGTGGCCTTACTCGTGGGCTATTCTTATGCGCGTACTCTTAGACTTCCCTCATGGATCATGATAAGTATATGAATGTCCATTAAAACAGAGCTGGATAGGCTAAGGTACGTAAAGAAGGTCGATGGGGAGTCAATAATACGAGAGTGAGAGAACTGGATGGGGGAGATTAGTTCAATGGAAGCTAACGATTATAGTTCACGGTCATCTGGTACAGTAAAGGGGCGGCAATCTGCGTTGAGTCCACAAGCTTCGTCGTCTCCTTAGTGGATCTTGAACTTTGGCGACTTGTTTCCAGAGTCGCCAAACACTGAAAGATAGGTAAGCACCGTCTCTTTCACAAAATATTTATGTGCAACTTACGGACGACAAAGTAGTCATTTCGTGTGGTAACGTTCGGCGTGATCACCTTCACAGAGCCGGCATGCAGCGGGAAGCCAACAGCGAGAGGATGATCTGGAAAAACGACTGTTAACTACCTTTACCTCGCATTTGGTGAGTGATGGGCGTACCAATATCAAGGTTCTCACTGCCGTTCTTCATATGCCCGAGGAGAGCGACCCCGGTAGTGCTTGTTCTCGAGGAAGGGATGCCGGTGGTGTCTGCATGGCCATTAGCATCGTGAAGGACTGTCTATGGATAAAGGTACATACCCCACCGAATGACCTGTTCAGAACCCTTCGGCCAGGCGACTGAGGCTTTGGGTGACGTGATTGGTGGGTTGAAGACGATGAGCTCTTGTGGTGCGACGACTGGGGATGCAACGGAGGCAGAGGCGAAGAGCGCAGCGGCGAATAGACTGCTGAAGAGCATGACGAATTACGACGAGGAGGATGAATTAAGAGTGGTGTTGGTGTCGGTGTCGGTGTCGAGGGTCAGCTCTCCGTCGTCCTTCGAGTTCAGACGCGATTATGCGATAGGAAGAAGAGGAAGATATTAGTGCGAGTAGGATGGGGGAGAGTAGGGCGTGCACCGACCCACCTTTATACCTCCTCGATCCTCGACGCGGCGGATATCGTCCGTTCCGTGGCTTTGATGGAACTCAGAAGCCGTGCCCACATCGACACGAGGCCGCTGCCACATCGCAGATTCCAACCCCAAGTCCAGCCCTCTGAGTGGGGGCCGTGGGGCACCTACCGCCACGGCGACGGCGGGCAAGAGCGAGGCGGACGATCGAGATGCAGCAACCTGCGAAGCACATGGCACAGCGCAGACAATGCGCGCGTCCTTGCGGCGTCAGCCTCGTTTTTCTTTGACTATCGACTATCAGCGGGAGGGGGAAGTAAGATGGATGGAATCAGCCTCGAGGTCGTGGACAAGAAGCCCCTCCGAGTCCCTGGGGATGTGCGGATGAGGGAGCTTCGGGAGGGAACGTGTCGATTGGCTAGGCTAGATTGCGGACTGGTCCGTAGATGGCTCTGCGAGGTTGAAACGAGAAGGGACTCGAGGCGTATCGGACAATAGTGATTGAGCGCTTCGGGTATGGAGCGTAGGATCATCGAGCCAAACAGATAGAGAGGAGCGCATCTAGGAGCTCTGATAGGAGTACGACCGCTGAAGAATCCGTGGAGGAGCTCCGTGCAACGGCGTCGACGTCACTGGGATAGACATTCGAAGGACCCGGCGGACAGCTGAGGATGCGTTCCCGCTACCTCATTGCCGTCGGAGAAAGCTGATCCATGGAGGCCATCTTACGCCTCACATTGAAACTTTGAGTGACAAAGAGGGGTCCATCGTTGTTGAGGTTATGGACGGACAAGGCAGATATGCCTGATAACCATACGCATGGCGTTGAATTTTCTCTACAGGCCGGCGGTCATTAATCATCTGGCAGTGCCTAATGGATCGCATCAATCGAGAGAGCGTGTATAAACGTCCGTACGGCATACGACAACATAGCATAAAACATAGAATGCGTATGCCTAGTCGCCCATATCGTGTAAGAAGGGGTTTCAGAAGGTCCGTGTGTCTTGACGTCTGTACGTCAACCCACTATTTCCTAATCTTAAACTCGGGGCTGCGATTCCCAGAATCACCGACCACTGGACACACAGAGGTTCATTTGAAAAATTACAAAAGAAGGATATCGCAGATTTGACTCACAAACGACAATATATCTCTGTCCCTCTGCGACGTTAGGACACGTAAAGTTCACATAGCCTTGTCTAAGAAGGAAGTTTGAAGCAAGTGGACGTTCTACAGAGCATGATTATCGGGTTAGCTGCCTCCAGAAGTAAAGGCTGCGAATGAAAATAATAGAGGCACGCACGCATATCCAGATGTTCGTCATCGCTTCCATTTTCCAGATGACCGAGAAACAGAGTGCCTTTGGGATTCGTACCCTTCTGAACGTCGTGCGTGTCCCTGTGCCGAAAGTCGCAAGATGATCAGCAGGTCGAGACACAGGCTACAAGCTGAATGAAACTCACCACGTAGCTACGGTATCGGAACCTATGGTCCACACCGTCTTGTCTGTGGGGTTCGTGATTTTAGGAGTGTTGACGGCGCGGGAGGAGATTGAGAGGTCCCATGAAGTAGCTCTTCGAGCCGGTGTTTGACAAGGCAGGCAGACGCCAGAAGACGAGTCAACGAGGAGCAAGAGAAAGGTCGTAAGGAGCGTCGGTAACGTAAAACTCCAGAACATCGTGACCAGCAGCAGTTCTGAGTATTAGAGTGCGAAGGGATTCTGGAATGCGTTTGGGAGAGGCGGTGATGCGGTGAGGTAAACGACTCTGATAGAAGATTGTCTATCATCGCCTCTGGCGAGAAAGGTCTTATACCAGCCAATAGGAGCACTTTGACGAAGACTGGATCGTCAGAAAAGGTCTGGGGGTGGAGCAATCCTCGAAAGGGAATTGAATCTGGCCCAGACATCCCGTTTTGTGAGGTCGGACTTCACCAAGGTGGAGATACACCAGAGCTTTTGAATAGAGTATTGAGGACCTCCTAGTAAAAGAGTTAACCTTAAGAGAGGCTTTAGGATTGCTGATTCGACCCAGCAGGCAGCATCAGAGCACCGAGGACTTGGAAAAAGTGATGGCATCGCACGAGGGACCTTGAAACACTAATTCAGCAATAGAACTAGCTATAAAAATCTTGAAGTTCTTCGGTTGGGTGTTGTGAAGACTGGAAACGTGGCCGCTGGATGGTTGGGAAGGAATCCCAGGAGACGGAGTCAGTCGAAGTCAGGGTGAGAAGCGTGAGAAAGATAAACAAGGTCACGTGGATCTAATCACAGACGATTCCGGTAAATTGCTCGTCCGCGCCCACACCACGCTTGCCAGCAGCCACCACCGACGAAGACGGCAGCGACAGCGACGAACGGGCTTGCATCCCCCTCACGTTCTCTATTTGAATTAGCTGTCCGGGAGACGATTGCTCTTCTCGATCTCTCACAGTTCTGTGATCACTTCGTCGACTTTCGGGTCCAAGCATTGACGCTGCTCACAAGGGGTTTGCAACAGCGTCCAAACCCAGCAGACCAGTCCACGAAGCGCGCTGTAATGAAGAATTTGTACAGAAATCACTCATCCAACGCAACATACCGACTGGGATCCCTGCGCCGTTCTCTCTCCGATCTCAACGCTCCCCGTCAGGACGGGCCACATATCACCTTCTGTCTCGTAAGACGCATAGACCATGGCGCATGGGCCGTTAGTTTTGAAAGACAGTCATAAAGCCAACTCGCTGGAGAACATCAGCGCCGCCCAAGCCGGGACCGACAATCTGAAACACTCGAAGCAGTCCTCCATCAAGCGTGCCGTCCACAAAACCTCAGGCAACGGCCTTGCTTCCATGGATTGCTCATGCAAGAACTCTGAAACATCACCGAAACCTCACACTGCGTCCAACATCTTCGCTTCGCCGTTAAAGGCGCTGTCCGAATCTCTAAACGATCCAGACGAACTCTGTATTTCTATCCACGACCTCATTGAAGCCTATAATGTCCTCTGTAATCGCCTTCGATCTCAAGCGAATGATATTTTTTCTACCACCGAACCCCACCCCTGCCTCTTTGCCTTCGCCGAACGGTCGTCTGACATCATGGACTGCCTGGCGCGCGACCTTCGACGCGTCTTGCCCAGTCCCTTCGAGACGCAGAGCTTCGGAGGAGGCTCCTTCAAGAATTGGCACTATCCAGAGATCACGTTCAGCGAAGAGGACTTAGAGCTTGCATCCGATAATGCTACGCTCTGCTACCATGCCCTGCGTTTTGTATCCAGTATCGTCACATTTACACCACTGTATAACACATTTTCACGTGAGTGGTGATTGTAATTGGTGAGATAAATGCGCATATATTCACATTTTGTTACGTCCAGACGATCAACTGTGCTCCGTGCTTCAAGACGCCTTAATGCTTTGTACACCTACGCCGCGACCGATCCTCAATCTACAAAAATCTCGTGGTCTGGTTTTGTGGATATTGAAAGTCCAGCAATTACCCGCCTCGGTTCTTCTTTCCGCGGAAGATATGGTCGTTTCAGCGATGAAATCCTCGCTCCTCGAAGAAATCGGGGGACTCACTGGCAAGAAGGATGCCTTCATGGTAAGTGTGCAGCCGCTTAACCGAGAGTCCTCATCGAACATTCCCTCAAGGCTATTCATTTTATTCTCGAGAAACATCCCCGATTCATTCGCCCGTTCCTCGAACTGCTACCCATCGTGCTCGACCATCTCAACTTCGGCGATCTTGATATTCAAATGCATGCTGCTTACGCCCTCAGTGGGTTCGCCCTCGCCAAACTGGACGCAAACGCCTCGCCCAAGTTTCCCCTGTCCCAAGTCGCAGAGATCGTTCAAGACTACATCGACGTGCAGACGGCCCGGAACAAACCTCGAGCGGAAGCTCGTCTGCCAGCCATGTTTAAGGCAGCTTTAGAGGGCGACCAACACTGGCAAGCGAGCGGAGCATCGTTCACTCTAACGGTGGCTTCGGTACTCATAGTACTCTTGGACCATCATTTTTTCTCCAAATCGCGCTCCTTGAAACTTATCTTCTCTCTCTTCCCACAAATCGCTGGTCACCGACGAAGCAATGTTCAAAACACCCTTCCTGAAGTATGGCGAATCATGATCTGGGCATTTTCAAGGTTTCCGCGGGATGTGGATGGAAGCAGGAGTGTTGACGACCTCACCACTTTGGAGGAGACGCGAGATCGCTGCTATCGCGTGGTGGTGCAGGAGCTTAGGCACGGTCTAGGCGTTGACCTCGTCGCTACTCTGCTCCGAGGATCCTCGACGTTGGACAGCTATCGCAGGGCGGACGACGTAGGCAAAGCGGTCTCGACTTTGGTGGATATGGTCGAAAGCAAGCATGTCTCCTGCAGAGAGGACGGAAGAGCGCTGTTGAGAAGGCTGTCGAGCGGAATTGGTACTCCGACGTCGACTTCTTCGGCCTCGCCCGTGGACAGGGGAGTCTCGTTCTGGAGACAGCTTGTCGATGGATCGCTTCTTCAGCAACCTGCACGCAGCATCTCCGTGCCCTCGACTGTAATCCCCGTCGAGAGCATTTTGCCCCTCGCTGAAGCGGAGGTCGTGCAGCATTGGGACGCTTTATCGAAGGCTTGGATCTCTCTCGTGCAAAGGTTCCTGACAGATTCTTCCGCCAGTCTTCCTGTGAGTTGTCCCCTGAATTTGCACTTTCCATCTTTATTAATTGTTATTCATTCCCTCGCAGTCAGATTTCACTGACTCATGGCAGGCCTTGCTTCTTGCCCAAAGTCATCTTTCTCAAGGCCACCAACATCTGACCACCTCCTCGGCCTTCGCCGCCAAAGTCGCTTCTATCATCAACATTTTCTCAATAACCCTCGACGTACCTGACGCACAAGCCCGATATTTGGCCTTCATCAACAAGCTTTGGTCTGTCTTGAAGAACGTTTTTGCTCCCAGTTGGCTGTCCTCTCCAGCAGAGATCATCCTAGCGTCCTTACTCAAGAAACAGTTCACCCTGTCGGACGATCAAGTCAGGACGTCATGGAGCCAGCTTTGCGCCGACCTCATCTCGGTCGGAATGCCCTCCTTGTTGCATGTTCTTCACGTTCGGAGCGAAAGTCAAGAAGGGGCGGAAGTCACAAGACAGTTGTGGACGATCCTGGCGCGGGACAGGCTTGCCGCTGACGGCGATGATTGGCTGGAACTGCTCTATCTCCTTCCTATGCCTTTCGGGTAAACCTTTTCGTAAAATTTCTTTTTCTGCCATGCTAACGAGATACAGGACATGGATCATGGACGATGATGAATTCGAACTTTGGGATGGCTTGTTCGTCAAGGCGCTTGACATTGGTAGCAGTTGCCTTAAGTCCGAAGAGGTCGTGATCTCCCGCTTGGTTAAATCGCTAGAAGACGGTTCAAAATTACAATCGTATGTGTTGACACCATTCTTATTACAGTTGGTCGTTGATACCGACGCCATATTTCAGCATGCGACTCTGCTGCAAAGCCATTATCTCCCTCATTTCTCACTCAGCTGCGGTGCCTTGTCGCAGCGTCATTCCGAAGCTCCTGCCGATGCTAGACGCCGCATTTTATGCGTGCTACAAAAAGATGCATGACGAGAAGGAAGCCGCCTTCGATACCCTTCGCACTGTTGCGGAGGTCCTTTCCAGTACGTTGGAGTCGGACATGGTAGAAGCGATATCTGCCTTACAAGAAGGCCTTTGTCGCTGGCTCGCAGATGAAGACGCGGCTCTAGACGATGAGGAGCATAAAGAAGTGGTAAGACAGCTCCTTCTTGTGCAAGGTGTTATTACTCAATGATCTCATAGTTGGAGACTCTTTATGGGAAACCCCTCGAGAAACTGTCAGGCCTGCCACCATCTCGGGCCGTCCTCGAAACTCTGGCCAAATTCCTCCATTCCGTATTCGTCCGTATCCGAGGAGATGGCCCAGTCCTTTTTCAGAGATTCTGGCGTTCGACGTACCACAAACGACCGGATATTTCGCCGAAGGATTACCCCGTCCTTATCCAGAGCTGCCTCAAGGCATGGAGCGACTTCTGTGGGGACAGTCTCGCGCATGGTGTTTCTTTCGACTCCGCGTCGCAAAGTCTGGTAAGCCAGCCTGCATATAATCGCTGTCTCAGGGTGTTTTACACGGGCAATTTCATGTAGAAATCGTACACTATTCCGGATTCGCAAGGCTCTCCTTCTAAGGGTCCTCCTGGTGATGATATATTCTTGGACGAGGGAACTGGGCTGGATCTTGAGCGTGGCCTTCAACGAGGAGATAGATCCGGTTCAAGAGAAACCATAACCCCCAGAAGCAGGAAGAGGTCGTTATCACCCAGCCACGAAGATCGATATCCTCTCTTAGAATCCCCTTTCGCTCCTCTGTCCTTGCCTCGTGTTGGCGTTGACGGCAAGTCGAACCACACGCCTGCCCATCTCAATAACTAAACAGACTTCTTTAGATCTACCTCGTACGCCGAAGCGTCGCCGAACAGGTCCTTGGGAGGCATTCCAATTTCCTGGTGTGAAGAGAGGGCAGATCTTGGTGCACGACTCCTCGATTCCTTCAGCCAAATCTCGTCAACAGGAATCGGCCTCAGAACCCGTCACTCGCACATCGTCTATGGCACAACTTAATCCAATCTCGGCAAGTCAGCCTTCGCAGCCCCGAAGACCCCACCGCGATGAAGAGACCCCTTCGTGGGTGGGCAGCGAGGTACGAAGGCTACGAGATGGCATATACAGTGGGGACCGCGACCGCGAAGAAGGCCTCTCCTCGCGAATTGCCAGGCATCCTCCAATGGCGTCTTCAGACGATTATGATACTTGGGAAAAAGGAATCTCGGCTCAAGACCTTCACGAACTTCAACAGAATCCTGGTACGCTCTGCAACTTTTCCCTCACGAACGCGGGTCTGACTCGAAGAATAGATCTCCGATTTTCCGAGGAGGAAGATAAAGACGCGGCAGAAGACGACGAAAGGGATAAGCTGCTGAGTGAGTCACATCCACTTCAAGTCGGACGTTGTCTAAACATAATGCGTCCTTCTAGCCTCGCCCATGCAAGACGACCTCAGTCCATCTGTAGGAGACTATCCATCCCGCTCTCGTAGGCGGTATCGTTCACAAACTGCACCTGAACTCTCAATGGGGCCAGAGTCACACTCCTTGCTCGCTGGCGTCCAACCATTGCGTCGGAACCAGACGAGTCCTCTTGAACATAGAAGGACGACCTCCGCCCAGCTGGATGCCTTGCAGCACGCATATGCGATTATTACGGACACGGGGGCGTCGCAGGTGGACGTCCAGGATATTATGCAGGCTCGGAGGCTGGCGAACCAGATTAACCAGCTCTTGGACGAGCAGATGTGTCGGAAGTTTGGTGCGAACACTGAAGCTTGAAGGTCGACTTTGAATTTTTTTTAGCTCTTTGTCTCGACGTGTGGATATTGGACTGTGCTTTATTTTTTATTGGGCCTGGGGGTTGACCTATCTTTATTACCGTTCTTCTTTCTTATGTTTTCTTCTATGATACTGTTGTTTGTTTGAATGATGACGACATCTGAGACGAGAGGAAGGAGCACAGCGGCCACGAAACAAATGTAACCAGACAGCGCGAAATTCCTGTTACAATGTTCAAATATATCCATTGACAGAGATGCTCGTAGATACAGCGCTAGTGCCATTGTAGAATTAGAAATTTATCGGACATGTATTTGAGCGTATGGGGAGCTCGAGAAACTAGTTGAGCAAGTCTTGAACTCGTGCCTTGACAACAATAGGGAGAACGCCTGGGCAAAAAAAAAAGTGAGATCTGACATTAAATTTGGCGAACTATGAGGAACCATTACCGCCAGTAGGTACAATGAAGGGCTGGCTTCCGACGGCAGTCAAGAAACCAGTGATCCATCCCCCGTGGGCAGTGATGGAGATGACTACAGGGTTGAAAATATATATACACTCGACATAGTCCAAGAGTGGAATACGCACATGTATGCTCCTTGTCGTGGTCGAATATGTAGTTGAGCACCTTCCGAGCACGCTCTGCGACCTCTGGCTTCGTTTCTCTGATCGTTGGGTGCCAAAGCTCGTCGCGCTCGGTCAGGCTGTCTTCGATGGAGAAATGAGGGAAGGTCGATGTAATATGTGTTCGTGTGTTCCGCCTGTCACAGGTGTGGACACCGTTCTCCTCGCGGCAATGCTAAGCGACCTGTCGAACAACGGATGGTGAGGAGTAAAGGCAAGGACGAACCTCCATGACAAACACGCGTTGCTCATACTTCTCGTATACGCCGTCGAACATGGTGTCGCATGTGTGGAGAGCACGGGTGAGGGGGCTACAGTAGCGCTTGTGCGGTGCTGGGATACCGAACTGCGATTCTGTTATCCATCCTGCCCGAGCGGCATGCGCTTGCTCGATTCCAACGGGTGTCAGTTTAGGATCGGCTGGATTTTGGTGAGATTAAATACAATGGGTGAAGGGGACAAACTTACGACCCCAAATGATTTCTCCGTCTCCGTCTAGCTTGGCCCAGTAACTGTTCGAAGGAAATGAGGGATGTTGAAGAGGCAAAGCGGCCGATTACTGACTCGTCCCAGGCGATGGTCCCATATTTTGCCTCTGCGACGTTATCTGACAGATTTCGGATGAGACAATGCGCATATATTAGCAGAGAACGCTCACGATATCCTTGCCCGTGTCTGGAGAGTAAGAAGAACTTATACGAGGTTCCTTCTGGGGCGTCCTCGTTCAACTTGCGAACGTCTCCCAGGAACTTGGCCCATCTATCGTCCGAGTCGTCCTTCAACCCGAATCTCGGAGGAACCTAGATTCACGATAGTGAAAAAAAAATCAGAGAGAGATATCGATGGATCTAGCTCGATGCGCCGCACAGCAGGAAGGCTAGACTGGCTGGGGTCGTCGTAGATGAAGAATCCTTGAACAGGCTGGCTAGAAGTAGTGATCAGGAGGCATTCCACAGATTATAAACAAGATGCACCTCGTAGGCCTTGATTCCCATGGTCGCCTCGGGACAAGTGGAGTGGTGGTGGGAGAAACGAGAAAGGCGCCGTCACCGCGTCACCTGAACCATCATTCTGCTTGACTGCTAGTTTCTGGACTTCACCATTTTACGATCTTCTAATGGCGACAACCAAGTATACCATCGAAGCGGACGCCTACTATAAGCTCTACTTCCACGCAGCGAAGCATCCGCACAAACCCGTCAATGGTGTTCTCGTTGGAACACAGGACGGACCAGGCAAGCCAGTGACAATTGTCGACTCAATTCCGTTGCTGCACCATTGGACAAGTCTGAGTCCGATGATGGAGATTGGATTAGATCTGGTGCGACTGCCACACCTCTACGTGGTCTGTTAGTTGACAAAGAACTCGGTTCAAGGCTTTTCAACACGCTGGTAGTGAAGGCTTGAAGATTGTTGGATACTACCAAGCATGCGAGCGGTTAGACGAGACGATTCTAGCGCCTGTTGGAGAGAAGGTGGCAGGGAAGATCAAGGCAAAATTCGAGGACGCTGTTGCTTTCGTGGTGCGTTTGGTTCTGCATAGTTTCTTTCCGTTCGCCCAGAATACTCATTTCCATTGTATAGATCGATGGGCGGCGACTAGGGAACAGCGAAGCCGCTTTAGTGGTAAGCCCTCTTTCTGTCCGCGAATACATTGAATGAATGTCGTATTAATCATTGTGCACAAGCCCTACATCTCGTCGTCCTCAAGTTGGCGTCCTGCTCCTAGTGATCCTCCGCCCTTTACACCAGGATCGCGATTCCAGCTGGGGTCTTCCGACCTTCCAGCACAAGCAGCCAGACTTGTGCAGGAACAGAACTCTCAGTTCGCGTTCGGAGACTTTGACGACCACCTAGAGGACGTAACAATCGGTGAGTGGCCAGCAGAAGACTCCAGGGCATGTACTGATCTTTGACACAGATTGGTTGAGAAATAGAACATGTCTACCGTAGAAGAAAAGGCGTTTGTCCACTCGTCTGTTCAATCGATTTGTTCTGCAACGTCTCCTTTAGCATCGAAAGCGACGATCTCGTATCGAGTTCTGCCTACGAGTTCTGCCTAAGAGTTCTGAAGTACGCCCAGTCGATAAGTTAAACGCCAACTGACACGCAGAACGACGGTACGAACCATGTCGATGTGGTCGCGTTGAAAACTTGCCTTGAGGAGCCTTGGGGTCTCCACTTGGACGGCTGACCATCAGCCACCTTTTGGCTGCCTGAACCAGTCGGCCAAACGAGCGCAGCCTCCGATCGTGGCTGACAAACACAAGCTTTCCGAAGGATATAAATCTTTCCCCCCTTCTTATCCTTCTTTCTCCAGGACCACCACCACCTCGAGTCGTCTCTCGTCCATCATCAACGCTCACCCTAGGCGATTTCCACCAAGTCTCCCCTCACTCTCGTCCTATATATGTCGGGCCCGTCATGTCCCCTCATCGTCGCCGTTGTATCACATCGCGGCTGACGCTCGAGCGTTGTCGCTGGCCGACGGTCATTCATGGTGCGTCCGTTTGACCTTGGAGGTGTCCCGCCTTGGCTTATATTCTCTTCAGACGCTGCCGACATCGTTTACACCATCCCGCCCTGGAACGTTCAACGCCATCTTCCATCACGGTTTCGTGTGAGTCCCCTTATTCTCTCCCGCCAAGTTCAACAGGGCTGATTTTCGCCTTCTCCAGTCTTACATCGTGCCCGCCTTACTCCCAAAACCCTAACACTATTTGCGTCGTCGCTTCTTGACATGATGTCAACGACAACGGCTCTCCTCCTACTGTAAGCCAGCTTCTGCCAACCCGCCTTAGAAAACACTGTCTGACCAATCGCAGCAGAGCCGTCGCATTCTCGAGAACACCTACCACGCTCTAACGAGGCTCAAACCATTCTACACCACCGCTCACAGTCGTCCTCGCGATGCCAGTAGAAAGCCGCCGCGTTCAAGACCATCTCCATGTTGTCAACGTCGGCGCCGGCATCAACGACACATTGGCCTTCGTTAATCAGCAGCCTATCATGCGGCAGTCGGGGACCTTCATGGTAATTTCGTCCACCCTAGTCGTCGTTGCATTCTCACACCAGCTCAGGCCGGTTCCTTGTCTGCCTCTCCTCATATTCACAAAGCCCAAGGATGCTCGACTCCAGAAAGCCGAGGGGGTTGTCCAGGAAGGATTCGCTACAGCGACTGTGACATGACCTGACCATGCGCACGACGGCTGACACGAACCTATACGTACTTCCCCCAACGCTGGATGGCGCCTGAGACGGCGCGCACCACTCCATGAACGCGTGCACGCAGGCTGATGACCTTGTGCAGTGGTTCCTCTGCGGTGTTGTAAGCAGCGTTGCCGTCCGAAGCCTCTCCTTGGTGAAGACAAGAACATAACCATGAAACACATCCAAAGCATGACAAGAAATATAGCAAGAATAAAATAAAGGGGAACAACGGAGAGTTGGACACGAGACTCTAAGATGACGAGGCAACAGAGCACATGATACCAAAGCCTTCGGCGCACGGTGGAGAGCTGATAACCCATGGCCAATATGTTACCAACAAACATCACTATACGCCGGCTCTTATGCTACATACGTACCTACTTTGCCTGCCAGACATTTCCTTGACTTGAGCTGCCAGTCCGAATTCATTCTGTTGATTGCACCGCTGCACGAATGCACTGTACACTTCAGATATTCTTAAGCTTCACAGCAGGCAAGGCTAAAGAGAAGAAGAACCTTTGCAGGCATACAAAAGGACATACTGTTGAGTTTGCTAACAGTACAGAGATGATGGTTGTCCGAGAGGGCGGGCCCTAGCGGCGTTTTCTTTTTGGTAACTTTCGGTTTTCCAGCCATCCAGGTTCATTGAGCGCTGCGGTGAAAATTTGAAGGAAGGATCGATGATCGCGGAGGCGGACGTGCTCAGGAAGAGGTGGCACCGTGAATTTTGCTATGGCCCGAGTCCTGGCAGAGCTTGTACCTGCACCAGCCGTCTTTGCACGAGACGTAGCCAAAGCTGTAGCATCCTCTCTGGCCTTATTAATGAATATGGTAAGCCGTTTCAACACAAGTAGGACATTTTCGTCCACTTTGTCAGGGGGCGGTTGTTGTTGAACTCCAGATTACAAAGCGGGGAGGTGGACATGCGAGTCAGCGCGCTGTGTTTACCCTCTCCACCCAGGTACAGTCCGGTATCGCAGCAACGCGTACATTGGGCGAAAACGTTGTTGACGATGTTACGCAGCTGCGTGTCGCGTTTGTTGCACGGAAGACACCGGAGGATAATGAATACGGTGACCCAGAAGAAGGATTCTAACTCGTCATAGAGGTCGGGCTCCTTTCCTAGAAATATGAGCGCATAGTTCGACATAAAATACCATGTTCCCTAGAAGGACCATCAGAAGCAGCGGTCTTTCAGTTCAAACGCTACTCACATTGCGATATGGCCATCGTTGGCCCTCTTCTACGGCTACCGTGCCCTGATCTGCCTCTTGCTTAGCTTTCGAAGTCGCCTCTGCCTTGTGTGTAAGATTCGCGACTGGAGGTGGCGTCTCCTTCGCCAGGTCCCAGTCATTCAGAACACCGTTGGCGTCGGGGTCGATCAGAATGTTCATTGCATTCACATCGCCATGAATGACGTTGCACTTGAGGTAGGCAGCTTCATTTACTACAATCGGTACCGTCAGATTGGATCCAAGAGAAAAAGAGGAAAAATAGGCACCGGTAAGAGCTTGATTGATTGATTTAATCAGGTCTCTTGGCTTTTCGAAGGTGCTGAGATGGTTTTCGGCGAGGGCGACCATACGTGATTGAACGCGTTCCAAGATATGGCCTGAAGGAGAAGACTTTTGCTCCAGATACTTTTGAGGCACGTCGACTTCTTGCATAGCACACAAGGTATCATCGCCGCCCTGAAGTTTGAGAACACGGCACTTGGGACTAGTTCCTCCATGCCATCCCTGAGCATGGAGTATGGTGTATCAGTCGTAGACGTGGGAGGATGCCATACAGGCGAGTACAGTTTCTCTGGGGTAGTCGAAAAGATTGTGCATAGCTTCTCGTCTTCGCCGTAGTTTAGGATGGTGGACAAGACGTCAGCGGGCCGAGAGGACCACCTGCAAACCCGCCAGTTTAGGGCAGGCGAAGACGCGTCAAGCACGTGCCGGAAGGTCGAGACACAATTGCAGCAGCGAGAAAGGAATGGGGGGCCAATAAAGACGGTGGTTGTTTGAGTTGAAGTGATGCTACGTGAATGTCTTTGTGGACATCGCTCATCACTCACAAAGAAGGTAAACTGGTGAAGTAACTCAATTACGAACCGTGACTTGATAACGCTATGATACAGACAACCTTAAGAGACGACTACAACTATATGCAGACGGACATAAGGTATGAATTGTGAATGAAGCATCTTCGAAGACGAGGGAGTGGAACAATATCGAGATAATCTCATCTGCCAAGGCTCGAATTCTTCCTCGAACTCGGACCTGGCGTTGTGGCGCGCGAAGATTTTCGGAGGGTGCGGGAGAAAGAACTCATCTGCTGGGGTGTCAACCGGGAAGAAGGCCCCACTTGATGAGACATAGTCGTCTCGGAAGATGTCCTCAACTTCTTTGCAGCTGGGTGAAACATTCCTTGGGAAGAGCGCTTCAAGTTGGACTCGATAATGAACTGAACTGTTGTTGAAGGGGGCTGGAAGACAGCAGCATCCTTGTTTCGGTTGTTTGGCCATTCAGATTCACTGAGAGCTTCGGTGAAGAAGTCGAGGAAGGACTGGTGATCGCGAAGCTGAACGTGGTCTGGAAGAGGCGGCACCGTGAAGTCTGTTATCGCTCTGGCTCTGGCAGAACCTGCGTCTGCACCAGACTTCTTAGCACGAGACGCTGCCACAGCTCCGGCATCGTCTCTAGAATAGCTAATGAAGATGGTAAGTTTTCTCAACGCAAAGAGGACGTCTTCTAGCCATTTTGTCAAAGGGTTGTTGTCCTCGAAAACCAAATCAGAAAGGGGGGATGTGCTCATCTCAACGAGCGTCTCATATTTGCCCTTCCCACCCATGTGCAGCCCCGTGTGACCGTCGACCTGGCATTGGGCAAAAACATCGCGCACAAAATTAGCCAATTGCACTTTGCTTCTGTTGCAAGGGAGGTATTGGATGGTGAAGAACACGGTAACCCAAAAAAAAGACTCCATGTCGTCGAAAATGTCTGGCAATTTCCCAGGAAATCGGAGTGCACCATTTGCCATGAAATACCATGTTCCCTGGAAGGAGTTGTCAGAAACTGCAGTGGAGCAATTAAGTGGTTACAAACAGTGCGACTTGGGTGTCGTCGACCCCCTTTGATTTTGGCCTTGTCTGCCTTTCGCTCCTCCTCTGACATCTTAGCCCAGCGTTGAGGGTTTGAGATCTCAGTGGGAATCCTCTTCGCCAAATCCCAGTCATTAAGGATACCCTCGCCGTCGTCGCTCATCAGGACATTGTTCCCGCTGACATCGCGATGAAGGATGCTGCAGTTGAGGTAGGCATCTTGGTGCGCTGATGACAAGAGCGACCCAATCAGGAGATGAAGATACAAGGAAGAGAAAACGACGTACCGATGATGGCATGGTTAATTGCTGTCATGAGCTCCTTGGGAGTTCCGAAGTAGTCCAGGTGATTCCCAACGAAGTCCTCGGTGAAGCGATGATGAGTTCGTTTGCAGAGGTCGGCTAAAGGTCCAGCCCGCCACGAAGCGTCGATGTCGTTCTGGGTAACGGTCGAGTGATAATCCCCAGGAATGTCGTCACCGTATTGGAACTTCGGTACATGGCGCACCCCAGCAGCGTTGAGTTCCTTCAGGATGTCGGACTCTTTCTCCATGCCGTCCACAGCAGCGCGCCAGGTGTCCTTCAGAAAAACGACTTTCTTCCCTTCAAGGTCGTAGGCAGGATAGGCACGCGTCGCTCGTCCAGTGAGAGCTTTGGGCTCGGCCATGGCCCCCCACATGACGAAGTTGCGCACTTTGCCATCCTCGGTGGGAACCTCGAGAACAACGACGGGACGCTCCTTCTTTGGGGCCCACCGGCTCAACGCTTTCTTGGCGGCATCTCGCTGTTCGTCGGTGGGTTGTTTGACGGTCTTGTCGATGCCTTGCTGCTCGTCCGTAAGCCGAGCGAAGCGCCAGAGGAACTCCGCCAACACTTGCGAATTGGTCCGATACTTAATGGCTTCAGAAACAATGGTCGCGCATCGATCGTGGTAGAGGAAGCGAACTTCGTGCACGTTCATGAACACCATGAAAGTTCGCGTACGATGCTGGCGGTTGCAAATCTCGGTCATGACAGCTCCAAGTTGGCCGCGTAAGTCTACCCCATCGGGGTTGACGTCTTGAAATATATGGTTCTTGCGGGCGTCTCCCTGGCATTCGTCAGAGGGATCGTTGAATGGGGTGACTTTGTTAGGTTTGAGTTCAAATGGCAGGAGATTGGTCTCGAAGTTGTTCACATATTTTTCGGTCTTCTTCTCTGCTGGTGGTACGTAAGACTCGTCCGATCGTTCGTCAGCTTCAGTGTCACTCTCCATATCGCTATCGCTGTGGTCGCTGGGGTGTTCGTCAGGAAGGATGTCGGAGAGACTGTCCTTTCTACTGGCTGTAGTGGGGGTAGTATCTTCGGTGCGGAATAAACCGACATCGGGTCTCCATTGAACGCCTTTGTATGAGTTGCGATCCCGGGAGTTGGAGATGTCGACGAGAGTGTCAGTTGGTTTCAGGAGTTTGGCGCGGTCAACAAGCTCCTTCTACGAATGATGTCAGCCAGACATTGCTGTAGTCTTGTATCGCAACTCACCAATTTGGAATACATAGGTTTCTCCTGGGTGCCATCTGGCATATCGTTAAAGTAGTCGGGTTCCACCAATTTAGCGGGAACAGATTCTTTGACGTGCATATGGTCAGCAAAAAATTTATCTGAGGGTTTGGGACCAATCCAGTAAAGATCGGTATCATTGGCCATCTTGGCCCGATAGTCCTTGAACGGGAGAAGTGGATGGCAAGGGGGATTGGAATTGAGCTTGTGCTTGATTGGCGTGACGTTGACAGAGGCCTTTACGTCCGGACTGGCTAACGGGGTAGGAGTGAGCGCGGACATGATGATGTTTTGAAATGAGAGATGTACCGCTTGTGCAGACCTCTTATAAGTCTGTGGGATTGCCACCGAGTGCCACAGAAGCTGAAGTGGCCGCTTGGACGTCCGTATTCGGCCCAAAATTCAAAACACGCGTGTGCTTGGGGAGGCCACCAATGAACAATGGTTCAAAGAGCGCAAGGCCACTGATGGTGACTGTTCGAGTTCAAGTTGTTATGCCCTGTTTTGGAATGGGAGTTCCACGTGCTGAACGCGTCTTTGCCGGCCCTGAACAAATCGGCCCGAACCTCAGAGCGTCGAATACTCAGGGCGTCTCTGGACTCTTCGTCTGGAGGGTATTCCACAATAACTATGGCATATTACTGGGTATCATCGTCAGCCTGAGCTTAAACTAGATTATGAAATACAGTCGCTTTTCAAGGAGAATACATGTCCCTTCATATATTAATATTTAGATACGATGAAGAGACAACGTGATACATGGGAAGGCTCATGGTAAACTCGAGGGGAGAGAGGAACGCGAGCTAAAATGTATGCGTCGGGTTGCGATCCCAGTTGGCGCCCACGTCCTCCACGCGAGCTCGTAGACAGCCGTACGATGATGATGAGTGTGGGGTCGGATCGTGTGAGCGGAATGTCTTGTAGCCTCTCGTTAGGGACCGTAATGCTAAAGTGCGTCGTGCCTCTGTCGTCGTACAGGAGTGAGCTAGAGAACAAAGGGACAAGTGGCTACGCGTAAGTACCGTGTCCTTATCTAATCTAATCATAAAGCAGGACCGTAATCGCATCGTAGCCAACCTCTCTCTCCTACATCTCCCCCTCACTTTGAAAATCAACCATCCCTGGTTGCGAACATTGCGAAGAAAAGAAAAAAAGGGAAACGAGAAGAGATTGGAAGCTACTTGCGCTTTTTCCTCAATGCCTTCTTCCTCGACCTCTTGTCTTCCGAACTGCTCTCGTCACTGTCATCGGTATCCTTCCTCTTTTTAGTTTTCTTGTTTGTCTTCTTCTTCTTCCGTCGGCACTCATCGTCACTATCACTGTAATACTTATATTCTGAATTCACCTTGATGGGAAGGTGAGCCCAAGAAGGTTAAGAAAAGAGCGAGCCATGCCGAGGACTCTTGAGAAGGAAGTTCGACATCGACGCCCTGGAGCATGGCCATCGTGTACGCTCGGCCAGAAGCAATTGACATCTTCGAGACAGTCTACTCGCCCTCAATTTGATCTGGATGGACGCCACGCATCCCGCTTTGAGTCCGAGTCGTGTATTGAAGTCATATGCTACTAAAAATATGTACAATATCTTGACAATATCCCTACACTAGCAAGTGACCCGTGCTTCGCATGTGGGTTTCATAGCAATTCGGCATTAGATTATTTCTGAATATAAAGTAGAACTGGAAAAAAATCCTCCATAGAATTGCCAGTTCCGGTACAGGCACTGGCTGGTAATCAAAGTGGTCATTCTCCTGCTAGAGGGCGTCCTGACCTTTTTTTACCACCCATTCTTGCGCGAGTTAGCGCAAAGTGAAACCTTGTTTCTTGAAATTATGAGAATTGTCCCGCCGCTCGTCGCCAACCTGCGGTTGGCTCCTCGCGGCATCCCGTGGCAAATACCCTCCTGGCTTCTCACAATTAGTGCCATTTTTATTGATCAAGCTCCATCTCTCCTCCAAGCACCTGCATTAATTATTTGAACCATAAAATATTTAGTTCGACTCGAAGTCTCTTTTCGGATACTGTGAATAGGGGCACTACCATATTTGTGATGTCTCAAAGAAATAGCCCTCCAGGACGCTTCAAAACCGGTGGTTTCCCTAGAGCCTAGTGCCCGTTAGCACGGTCCAATGTAGAGCGACGCCTTCCAGTTGCATACCACCCAGGATATCCAGGATGCTGCGCGTCCCATCACCAGTTGCATATATCAGCCAATCAGAGCGCGTCTTTGTCTCTTACGTTTGTCCCCGTGAGAAAAAACAGCTCACTTTTATTATATTTGATTTGCGCAAAGCAGCTTAGTGTGGCGCACTTACCCGAAATGCCTTGTGCGATCGGCCGAGCACTTGTCCTGTCATCGTCTTGACAAAGGATTTGCTAATCTTGATTCTTACCGATCGACGAATCCCTCCGCGTGGATTTGGCAGAGAAAGACGATCCCCGACTCTCCTTACGTAAGTATGGAGGGAGGGTTTTGTGGTACGCGAATCTTCGCTCATCCCCTTAGACAATTCCCTTTGCTTATATTTGCTTGGTCAACTGTACAGTTCTTCGTCAGACTTTCATACGTCCTTTACATTGACGCTGATACTGACAGACCATTGCTCTGGAGTGCTCTGGTTTGTTTCCCTGAGCCAGTAAGAAAACCGTCAAGTTAAATGCTAGGAACCTCATAGATAAAGGTACTGCCATATTGCTTGCCCGAGTTCCTCATAAACCCGGGAAGAGGGAAAATTCTGCTATCATTACTTATACTGGGTGACACTTGCCGGGCCGCGAGGAGCCAACCGCAGGTTGGCGACGAACGGCCTGGCAAGCCGACGGTTCTTTTGCAGTGTGGAGACAGAAGAGGAAGAGAGTCGGGGACTGTGCCCAAACGGCACGCTACGGATCGGCTAATCCATCCGCGTGGATTTGACCTGTATGCTATCAGCGTCGAGAAGCGCAGTACAATCAGCACCCACAAAGTCCCACAAAGCTACATAGTACCCAAGAGATATCGGCTTCCTGGAGATACAGAAAATGTCGGGCATTCGAAGTCGATGTAGCCTGTCCCCCTTTTCCCCCTTCAGGCTGTTCCTCGGTTTTCGCAGTCGGCAATTGATTGAGCCGATGCTGGAGAATTGCGAGGCCGCTGGCTTCGCGTCATCGAACTTGCGCAGTGCTTCCAAGGGGCTCGAGACGGCAAGATGGATAATTGAATACCCCTTTCCGGCCGTGGCCTGGCTCGGCTTGCCTCCAGGTTTCCCCACAGTTCCTCGACTTGGAATACGTAGTTGTGGGGAAATATTAATTGACAGGCGGAGTGCCGCTCTCTGATCTGCTTTGAATTCAACGACGAGTTCTTCCGCGACTGTAGAAATATGACGAGAGCTAAAAGCAGAGAAAGCAGGCCAGATACACCGTGTGGCTGACCGATGTAGTTTGACGTTGAATCGCGATGGCCGTCATAGAAGAACTCACGAAGCTGGTTGGGGGTCTTTGCCGGCTTGAACCGGATTGGAGATTCACGTGTGCGGGCCAAGGTCTCCCCGGACGCCGGAATAAAAAGTTGTGGCCTGTTGGTGGACTTAGAGCACCACTACCTACCCCGCCGTCTCGTTTCTTCTTTATCTCCACCTAGATATACCCTCTGCTCGATAGAGTTAGGTCGTCGTCACCTCGGGCCCAACTTCTATCGTGAAAACAAGTGCTGACTTCCTCCCCGATGTTCAGACTTACGGCCAACGCATCCAAGCGCATAATCGTGCGTGGTTGGAACTTTCGGAGGACTTTGGCTGACACAATTCTAGCGCCCATCACCCAACGTAATGTCGAGAAAGTCGTCGACACTCCCACCAGGGTACTCAGAGGACCTGGCGGCACCTCCGATGCTCCGTTACCAGGCTTCGCTACCAAGATTGCCTGTACCAACCCTTGAATCCACCTGCGCGAAATACCTCGAGACCGTCCAGCCCCACCTAACACCAGACGCCTTCTCCAAAACGAAGGATGCCGTATCATCCTTCCTCTCCTCGCCCCTCGCCGCAGAGTTGCAGCAGCGTTTGAAGGACCGGGCAGCAAACCCAGAGACGAAGAGTTGGCTGAGCGAGTGGTGGAACGACGTGGCGTATATGGGATACCGCGACCCGGTCGTCGTCTACGTGAGCTACTTCTACATCCACGTCGACGACAAACTGCGACGGGATCCCGCGAAGAGGGCAGCGAGTTTGGTCAAGGCGATGTTGCCGTTCCGGGAATTGGTCGAGAGGTGCGTTGACCATGGCTGTCACATTACCATCCCCTGATGTCCATCCAGTGGTCGCCTCGAACCTGAGAAAGTGCGGAATGCCCCCCTATGCATGGACTCGTACAAATGGCTGTTCCACTCATCTCGGTACCCCGTAAAACCCTCCGACACCGCCGTCAAGTTCGACTCGAAGACGAACAACCACATCGTGGTGCTACGGAAGAACCGGTTCTATACCGTCCCGCTCTCTACCCCCTCAGGAGTCGAGTTCAGTGCCGTCGAGCTTGAGGCGCAGCTCAACGCCATTATCGCGCACGCCGATGCCCAGCCGTTAGCTCCGGCAGTGGGTGCGCTAACGTCGGACAACCGGGATCTGTGGACGGATGCTCGGGAGGCCCTGATTAACGCGTCACCGTCAGGCCGGAACGCCGAGACGCTGAAGAAGATCGAAGGCGCGATGATCGTGCTTGCGCTGGACGATACGAAGCCCGTGACGCGTGAGGACATCAGCTGGCAGACGTGGGTGGGCAATGGCAGGAATAGGTGGTACGACAAGCACCAACGTGAGTGGTTATGGATTATTCGGGAAGCGTTTCTGACGAAAAGCAGTGGTTGTATACGACAACGGCCGTTCTGGATTCCTCGGCGAGCATTCGTGCATGGACGGCACCCCTACGCTACGGATGAACGAATTTGTGCTCGCCTCCCTCGCGCAGAACAAGGCCGATCTCGGTTCCGCTACTCCCACCAACCCCATTCCCCCTGTCAACGAGCTCTCCTTCGAGCTCACACCCCCAGTCCTTTCCCTGATCGAAGGCTCCGAAAAGCGATTCGACGAGCTCATCACCCAGCACGATCTACACGTCCTACACTACGAGGGCTTCGGAAAGAACTTCACGAAGCACCACAAGACCTCGCCCGACGCCACCGCACAGCTCATCAAACAACTTGCATTCCACAAGATGTTCGGCCGGCCCGGTGTCACATACGAAAGTGCGCAGACGCGTAAATTCCAGCTTGGACGGACGGAAGTGATCAGGAGCGCAAGCAACGAGAGTAAAGCGTGGGCTGAGGCGATGCTGGATCCTAAGGTCACAGTGAGTACAGGGCTTTTTTCCAGATGTATCCAAGGCTGACGTCCACAGGACCCCATCCACCTCCGGAGCCTCTTCCAGCGAGCAGCCGCACGACACATCCAATATTCGACATGGGCCGCTGACGGACAAGGCGTCGACCGCCACCTCTTCGGTCTGAAAAAGCTGCTCAAACCTAACGAGCCCCTCCCCTCGATCTACACCGACCCCACCTTCGCCGCCACCTCCCACTGGGAGCTCTCGACCTCACAACTCAGCTCGCCATACTTTGACGGCTGGGGCTATGGCGAGGTCGTGCCAGATGGGTACGGGCTATCGTATGCCATTGGCGACAATTATATCCGCTGGACGATCACGAGCTTGAAGCGGCGCACGGCGGAGCTGAGGCATTATTTAGCGGAGGCGGCGACGGAGGTGAAGAACATGCTGCAGGCAGCGGAGAAGAAGGAGAAGGAGGCTGCAGGGAAGAGCAAGCTCTGAGCGCATTTTCAGGCCCTGGAGTTGAGATCTCGGGAGGAGAACACTTTGTAGATACCAAGGGATGCGTTTTTTCGAGATTGAAACTTGAAATGTGCGCATACATTCGACTAATAAGCAAATCCACGGCAAGTATTACCTCTGGGAGCGCGAGATAGAGAGAAACTGCTACCCTCGCACTAGTGCGCCACAATCACTGTAAATGATCTGCCGCGTCTCCGCCCAAGATGGCATCTTAGATCTTAGGATGCAAAAGGGTGAAGAGGAAAAAATCAACATAAATAACTAGGCAGATGATACATGCCTCTGACCAGAGTATTAAAGGGCGGGTAACTGTTCTCACCTTCTTTGGATGATGTCCTGTCGCGAGGCCGCGATAATTACCTCTCCCAATGTGTTCCTCCTGTGACTGTGGGTGATATCTGACATTGTTATGAGCCCGGAATTCTCGTTCACTGCTCCTGGAATCGGTCTTGATACATTAACCGCTTATAATTCACGGGCAAAAGCTTCAATGTCATCTGGGCTGTAGGACAATTGAAGATCGAGTCCGTCCTCCACAAATCCTTCAGTCTTGCCCGAGATATCTACCACATGTATCCGATTAAAGGCGATGTGCATTCGCTTGAGCTTTGCGATCTGGGGTTGACTTCCATCCTGCTTGCGTGTGATGAACTTCAGGATCCCCTCGTCTGTAAACCTTGTCGGGCCTCGACAGAGCCATTCCTCCAACCGAGGGCAGAGATATTGCCCATCTTCATCTGGCGAAACAAATGGCTCGAGGAAATCGTCGTCGACCGTCTGTCCGCAGTAGTCGTCCCTATCAATCGAAAGGGAGAGGAAGGTGACCTTGGGGCAGTGACGAAGTAGTAGGATCAATCTGTCTCGAGTGAAGTCGGTCGCGACGAGCGTCAGCTTCGTCAGTGCGTGTGCTCTGGACAGAAAGGGATTTAACAGTTCGGGGGGGGGGATCCAGGGGGGATTCCGGATCTGTCGAACCTGTATTCAAATTCTTGAAGTGATGGACTATCGAACGTCCGGAAAAAATAAGACAACCTGATTTGCGGGTCATACACCCCGAGTTTGGTGAGCGAGGGCATGGTGAGGGCGAGAGATGAATCTTCTTCATCATAGTCGTTGGGCCCGATTAGCAATCCCCACGCGGGAAGAATTCGAAGTAAAGGGTAGTAAGTCGGGTACATGAACGCAATGTTGAGACGAGCTTGAGTACAGCGACCCTCCGTTCATCCAACATATACATAGCACGTCCTTTTAGCGACAGGGATGTGAGTTGAGACCAACATAATGGAAGCTGCAAAGGATCTGGAGCCACACGATGGAGAGAAACGATGCGTAGACTGGGGACTTTGAGAAGTCTGCTCTCAAAGTCCCCTTGTAAGCCATGTTTCAGACCCCTCTGACAAGGCTTGACCATGGCTTTCGTTAATGGAGAGGGATTCCAAGAGGGGGGCGTCGTTGACATTGGCGATCTCTTTGAAGACACCTCCAAACCCTTCTATGTCTAGTCTTTTCCACCGAGAGGAAACACTGAGCAACGAATCGATGAGCGGTTTGAAGAATAGGCTGGAATCTTCGCTGGGAGCCCATCCGTCTCGTGCGAGAGATATACTCAACGGAAGGACTCCACTTCTTCCAAGCCATTTATTTGTTGCTGCTGCTCTCCTGTTTGCCTCTAGTATGGCTAGGTCTTTAGGATCTTCCGTGGTGAAGACAAAATGCATCGTTTGAGGCATGGGGGCGCTGATATGGAGGGCGGCCCAGAGTCGGGAAGTGGAGAGAGCGAGATCTCTCCAACCGTGACACACGTGGGTCAACAGCAGGGGAGAATGCTCCATACTCATTTTAGGGTTTCGTTCCGTCGGGAGACACCGGTAAAATATCTCTCGTAGGATATCGCTCGGTACGCGTCGCATCGGGGACATGAGGCTGCGAATAGCTTCGATTTTTGTTGAAAAGGCTTCATACTGATCAAGGAGGCTATCGTAGATAGCCTCGATCTTCTTTAATTCTGCTTTCAGAGCGTTTTGCTTCACAAGGAGTTCGTCGAGCATAATACTGAGCTGGAATACTTGACTGTCAATTGGGACATAGTTCGTCCCGATGAACTGCTCGAATTGTGAAGCTGCAGGCTGCTGAAAGTTCTTCAAAATAGCTTAAGACGACTGTGAGGATTCGTCCATAAGTCCCGAAGCCCACCAGCATGATATAGGTCGAGGGACGCCATACTTATATTCTTCGTCGGGGTTGATGTTGACGGAGAAGGTCATTAGCACTAGCGATGTGTCATTCCCATTATGTAGCGAATACATCAAAGCCCCCCGAGTCTGACATAAGACACAACAAGTTCAAGGGCGCCTTGACAGACAGCTGGACTGGGATGCCCATCCAACGCCCACAGCATTGTTGGCCCCGTGGTACGTGCCTTCCTGCGTGCATGTAAATATCAAAGTTAAGCTGACGGCCGGCGCCCTTTAACAACGCAAGAACCCGATGAACCGTGACGTGGAACGACAACCATGGACGATGCTGAATGACAGGTTGTTGAAAGCCCCTTGCGCCTGCTCGTTATCCAGATTCCAAGCAAGCTGAAGAGCTCTCGCCAGCTCTGCCCACTAGGCCTACCAAATTTGAGTAAGAGATGGGGAACAGCAGTGATGTTGCCATATTCTGGGATTACGGTAGGTTTCCGTTCCTCAATTTTGAGCGTTTCCTGACGACGTTTCTGGGTAGAAAACTGTCCTGCCCCTTCGAATGGATCTGGCTACCTCATAGCAAGGAATATTTCCACTCTTGCTCAGCAATTTGGGACCGTAAAGTCGTTCAAGGCATATCTGGAGATTTCTGAACAACTTCCACGGGCCCTTGTCATGCGCTCGGAGCTACAGTCTTCAGGTGTTTCCTTAATTGACTGTCCCCACAACGGGCGGAAAGACGTCGCAGACAAGATGATGCTTGGTAAGGAACTTTTGGGGTCTTTTCTAACTCGCCTCAACATTTGAAACCTAGTCGATATGTTGGCACACGCCATTGACAATCCACCACCGTCCACCACCCTCATCCTCATAACGGGTGACCGAGACTTCGCCTACGCACTATCTATATTGAGGCTCAGACGCTACCGCGTTGTACTTCTTACTCTGGCCAACGCACATCCGAGCCTCACAATGCAAGCTTCCGTATGTTATGACTGGGTGAGCGAGGTCATTGATGTCGTTGTGCCTGGCAGAGCAGAGCAGGGTGTCAATGATCCTCGCAATGCAAGCCTTGCCGAGTCCGTATCATCAGGTGTTGTATCCGCAATTCGAAGGACTCCGCAGCTGGAAGACAGGATCAGAAACGAGGAACCTATCGACATCACGAATTATCTTTCTGGTCGCACACGCCTCAGGCAACCATCCCAGTCATCCTCGACCAGCACCTACAATCCTCAGCCGGTGCCTCTGGAACGGTCGAGAGAAGATACTACCTCGACGGCAACTTATGTCGGCAGTCGGTCCATGCATTCCCCTCCAGCAACCATTCGAAATACGTCAGCTCTTCTTCCTTTCCCCAGCACTCTTTGTACACCACCGCAAAGCACGTCCCGAGGTCCGTTGATGGCTTCTGCTCCCAAAAGCTTATTAGCACCTCCGGCAGCAATTGACACGAGTACTCTATGGCCAGCCTCCCAAGACATCCGCGTACCCATGCAGCCTAATGTCAAACCCGCTCTATCTTCTGTGGACAGGGACTATTCTTCTGTCCTCTTAGACACGAACACCATTGTCGAGGGTGTATCAGCCCCTCGTCCTCCCTCGCCTCGCCCTGCTTCAGCTCCTTCTTTACTCCCGTCACCACCACCATTTTTAGCACCGCAGTCTCCTCAGCCAGCACCCAGACCTCCGACCACTACTAGCCCCTTACCACCTCAGCTACCCCAGCCACCCGAGCCTTGTTCCCCTTCAGGTACAGTCAGCGTAGCAGCCACCATCAAAACTCCACCTCAAATTACGAATACATCAACTATTTTATCAGCACCGTTAAAGCCTACTACTCTTGCACAGGCAGCAGAAGACCCCGCTTTAGCTCCGCCTATTTTTGCGGTCCTTGTCGACGTTCTTCAGAATCACAGGCTGAAAGGAGCGCTACGACCTTTGCGTTCTGTAGTTGCATTGCAAATATCTAAGGGAGGTGCTACGTACCGAAATGCAGGCGTCGAGAAGTTCAGTCAGTACGTTGCTTTGGCGCAGAAACAAGGTATCATTGAACTTGGAGGTATGGAAGCCGCTGCGTGGATATCTTTGCGCCCTGGATGGGGGAAAGCGAGCTCCCCTTGATTTGATCAGTGCTTCCCGGTGCCATTGGCGTAGCTATATCATATGTTATGGGAGTCCTCTCTATGATATGTATCAATCTTGTATCTGTATGTCGGAAAAACGCGATTTCCATCATAAGGCCTTGCGGCTCCTGGCACCCCTGGCCCCGCTGATACACTGGCGTGACGCTACCAATAATCAATTGTAAGGGCCTGCAAGTCGAGCGTCAGTGAGTATCAGAAATCCGTCACCTCTGGTAAGTCCTAGTCACACCATCCGCTTCACATTTGTCCATATTCTACTTGTATCGTTGTCTGCCTCCAATTCAACCAGGAGTTTATCTATGTTTCGTTGTTCCCCCTCTCCCAAAGGTCGTGGATCAGCAGGAACATAAGCTACTTAGTTCTGAGCTGAGGACAGTCACAAGGGAAGTTCACCTTGTTGTTTCCAATCAGCGTATCACAATATCCATTTCCGTACTAGTACTTTCAAAAGTGTTGTGTTATTCTCGTTAGGAGGGTCATCAATCCCACCTTCAGGAAGCTGTGAGCCCAAGCGACAATGGGCTCGAGTCTACCAACTCGTCGACTACCTTTGCTGGGGTCAAAGTTAAAGGTTTCTCTTGGTAGCGACTTGGGTCTTAAGCAGTGTGGCCCAGAACACGTTGCAGCGCTCAAAATGACTTGACAGGATGTTGAACGTTGAGGCCTGAGGCCTGAGGATTGATAATCGATAAACTCGGACATCGTTTGGCAAACTTCCGAAGTCCAGAAATATTTGGACGTGTTCAGGGCCGGCAAAGACGCGAATGGCACGTGCAACTCTCCTTCCAAAAGAAGCATTACAACTTGACCTCCAACTGTCATCAGGACATTGTTCATCGGTGGCCCGCCATACGCGCACGCGGACTTTTGGCCACAGAAGGCATTAACGAATACGGACGTCCAAGCGGCCACTTCAGCTTCTGTGGCTCTCGGTGACAATTGCATAGACTTTCAAAAGGTTGCACAAGTGGTAAGTCTCTCATTTCAGATCCCCACCATGTCCGCGCTCACTCCTAGCCCGGTAGCCAGTCCAAGCAAGACCACTGTCGACGTCACGCCGATAAAGAACACACACAATCCTTATCCTCCTTGCGAAGCTCTTCCTGGACACAAGAAATACTACGAGAAGATGGCACACGATTCCGATTTACACTGGATCGGCCCCAAACCTCTGGAGAACTTTTTTGCTGACCATATGCCCCTCGACGAACCTGTCCCCAATAATCTGGTGGAGAAGAGATACTTCAACAAGATACCCAAGACCGGGAAGGAGGCCGCGATGTATCCTGCATTAGTAAGTCGCAATCCAACACTCTGGCAACTTTAGACCGACCGATCCCTCTAGAAGCTCATCGAAGAAGCGGGCCTCTTAGGATCGTCCTTCGCCGTCATAGATACCTCGAACTATCGGGACCCCAACGCATACGATGGCACACAGTTAAGACCCGATGTTGGCATCTTCCCCACGGCTGACGACAACGCCAACCCCCTGGCTCCCACTGCTAGCGACAGTGAAAGCGAGGACGTTGACGCCAATTCCGAGGACTTATCTAGCGACAGCGACAGTGACAGCAGCGATAGTGGTGACGACGAGAATGTCGATGATGAGCTCGATGATCCATCTTTTGTGTTTCCTACGGACCAGAAGGATGACCCCAAGATTGATTACTCCTTCGAGAAAAATATCCTTCCATTCGAGCTCAAAGGCGACAACACCACCCCGTTCCAAGACCCCGGTGACAAGGTTCAGGGAGAGGCTCGCAAGAAATATCCATTCCAGAAGATCAGACAAAAGGACATTCTTCTTCGGGGTCAACTCGGCGGCGTCATCATACAGATTTGCTCTCGCCAGCATCGCACGCGCACCTTCATGGTTTTCATGAACGTCAAGGAGGCTCGCATCCTCTACCACGATCGAAGCGCCACCATTGTCACAGAGGCTATCAAGTATCGTCACAACTCGCAGAAGCTGGCGGAATTCCTTTGGCGCTTCGCTCGACTTACAGAAGAGCAGCAAGGCATCGACAAGACCGTCAAGCAACCCACCGACGAACAGCGAGATGCCGCCAAGAAAGCGTTGAGCCGGTGGGCCCCAAAGAAGGAGCGTCCCGTCGTTGTTCTCGAGGTTCCCACCGAGGATGGCAAAGTGCGTGACTTCGCCGTGTGGGGGGCCATGGCCGAGCCCAAAGCTCTCACTGGACGAGCGACGCGTGCCTGTCCCGCCTATGATCTTGAAGAGAAGAAGGTCGTTTTCTTGAAAGACACGTGGCGCGCTGACTGTGAGGGGATGGAAAAAGAGTCGGACATCCTGAAGGGACTCAACGCTGCAGGTGTGCGCTATGTCCCGAAATTCCAATGCGGCGATGACATCCCTGGCACCTATCACTCGACTATTACTCAGGATGACATCGACGCGGAGTGGCGAGCTGGTCCCATAGCCAAGCTCTGTAAAAGAATTCACCATCGCTTCACCGAAGACTTCGTCGGAAACCATCTCGACTTCTTCAAGACTCCCAAAGACCTCATGATGGCGATTAATCACGCAGTCATCGGTGCGTTGTTCTGTGTTTTTTTTTCCCCTGAGTCTTCGTTACTTACTGGATTTGGGCTGATGATTAGCTCACCAAGACGCCTACCTCAACTGCAGCATCCTTCATCGCGATGTCAGCGGCAACAATGTCCTGATGAGCGACGATGGCGAGGGTATCCTTAATGACTGGGATTTGGCAAAGAGGATTCCCACCAAGATAGCAAACCCTGAACGCTGGGCGAAAATGAGCGAGAAAGAGAAAGAGGCGGACAAGGCCAAGATAAAAACGGGTCGACGACATCCATACCGCACCGTTAGTGGCCATTCTATCACTGCGCCTCATTTTCTGATTTGTTGTCTAGGGCACCTGGTACTTCATGTCAAACTTTGTACTCCGATACCCAGGAAAGATCGCCGACCTCTTCGACGACCTAGAATCTTTCTTCTGGGTCGCCGTGTTCTTCACCATTCAATATCTTCCTTGTGCAAAATGCGATGAGCAACTGAGCAATCTCATACTCAATGTTTTTGCCCAATGCACGCACGACCCGGAAACTGGACTGTACATGGGTGGACAAGGCAAATATGCAGCGCTCACGCGCATGTCAGACTCTCCCGTTCGAAAACTAGAATTCCACAACAACAAGCCCTTAACAAAGTGGATAAAGGACGTCCTATCTGCCTTCAAACAGCTCACGCTCTTCAATAATTCCTCCAGAGAGGATACTACGGATTTGGCCATTTCTCGTGCCGAGGAGGCTGGTGCAAACAGTGACCTCGCCATTACCCGAGCTCAGGTAGAATTTACGCTGCCACCTCTTCCAGAGCAGATTCGCCTTCGTGACCACCAGTCCTTCCTTAAATTCTTTACTGACGTGCTCAATGAACCGGGATGGCCAGACAATCGAAAGAAGCATGCCACTGTATTCCAGCCTCCTTCGACAATGATCCAGATGCAAGTCGCGCTCGGACTGAAACACAAGTCCGAAGGGCTGGGAATGTCGATTTCGAAAAAGTCAGTCATCTGAGACGACGATGTCATATCAGGCCGGGCCTTCCCATCGCATGCCCGAAGTAGTCCCTCCTCCCTCTCCAGAACCTCGCCAGCGTCCAAAGCGGCACACGAAGCCCATGCCCATGCGACCTGCAAAGACCACAAGAGGAAAGGGAAAGAAGAACAATTAGTGACAGTGGATGGAGTCATTAATTCACTTTTTTCAATTATTACCTCCATATTCCAAATACTTTTGTTTTGATTTGCAGTTGCTACGTTCGTTTCGTCAATGCAGATAGTTCTCGTGGCTCTGAGGCCTCAGTCCAATGTCAATCCAACGCTGTTTCCAACTTGAAACTGGCTATGTAGTCGACTTTTCCCCTGCAATTGAGCGCCACTAGATGGCTGGTTCGCCGCGGAGAGCTTGAGCTTGATTTGAATATTGAACGCTATGTAACATTCAACATCTGCACTCATCCTACGAATACCGCCACTCTGTTCTCCGTGGTCAGACAACTGAAAACATAATAAACTGATGGCATGGACTAGCATGTAGTTTGAAGTTCAAGTCTCACTTTGTCTACCTTTCTGGTGTGCACAATTACATAAACTCTCCCAGAGAACATGGTTCTAGCTAAAATCCAGCACGTAAAAAGTATATCTGTCTCTTACGGACATAACTTGGTCGCAACCTCGTCTACTAATTTCCGCACATCCTTCTTTGCGAGACCTCCCTCTGCCGCCCATCCGGAACCTTTAGTGAGCTTGCTCTTCAGCACGTCCTTGGTCTGAAGTACCTCCAGAAGAGGCCGGATTGCAGTTTCATAATGCGGGGAAAGGCGCAGGAAGAACGCGAGAGCTGCTGTGAGACGATAGACTACAATTCCAACAAGTCATTAGTGCTTTGGGCGAACGATGAAAGGCAGCCCATAATGAACTCACCAATTTCTTCATTCCCCTTCTCCCTATCCAGTGCCTCAGTGGTGGCGCTGACCATCTCGACCTGCCAGTCTCCCAGCTCGTCTTCTGAGTCGGGCTGGATCCCGCGGCCGCTCCTTACCGCCTCGACGCGGTCCTTCTGCAACACGGCAGCAGCATTGAACGCCAGGCTCGCGGATGCCGTACGTACGAGCGCGTCAGTATGCAGCAAGCTCGGGACAAGCACACTCGTGATCGCATCCCCCAGCTCGCTCCTCAACATCTTCTGAGCCAGCGCCGCGCTAGAAAAGGCATTGCAAAGCAAACGAAGGACTATTAGGATGTAGTTCCGAGCCCCCTTCGACGACGATGACTTGAGGGCCTCAGCCGCCCTGGGCAAGAAAACACTGAGGGGATCGGTAGGTGGAGTCGTTGGGACGAGGGTCGACATCCAATTTCCTACCGATGGGTCAAGAAAGGCGATCCGCCACATGTCAACTACAGGGAATAGCGATTCGATCGGCAGGGCCATGCCATCGCAGCAGTCGCTTGTGCCCATGCTATGAGGATAGCTGGCGTCGCTGATGAAAGATTCTTCGTCGATTTGTCGGGGACCGGAGAGGGGAATCGTGCTTTCAGGTAGGGTAGCACGACGCCAGAGAGGGTGTCTTTGACTTGATCTTTCGTCTGGATGGAACTTGGCCAGGAGGTCTGATCGTCGATGAAGGATTGCTGCTTAGCAAGCACAGTATCGAACACGGGGGCTTGGGCAAAGATGATGGCGTTCAGGGAAAGTGCTTGGACTGCAGGAAGCGAGATCGCGGTGTGTGGATGTGCTATTGTCGAAAACTTTCAGAAAGTGCGCGGTAGCTCGAAAGTGATCGCTTACGTGGATATGCTTGGAAAAGCAGCAAATCTACCTGGGTTCTCAGTTCGTTTGCGTCAGCGCCTTTCATTTCGTCAACCTACAGAGGATGCCATAAAATAATCAACAGAAAACCAGCCCAAGTGAGACGAACCTTCTTCCCATCCAGGAAAAACATGAATGTTGGAGTCGCACGAATTCGCCATTCTTCTGCAAGATTTCTACCCATTCCGACGTCGATATCGATTTTCGCGAAACCAGCACCAGTTCTTCCGTCATGAAGCCCTTTCTCTTCTGACAGTCGCTCAAAAATTGGCTCGATCATGCGGCACGGAGGACATGTTTCACTCGTAAAGAAGGCGACGGCAGCTCTGTGACTCTTCAAGAAAGCACGGAATGACGTGGGATTCGTGATCATATGTAGAGGGCCGGTGAGTGAGTTCGTTGCTTGTACGTAACCGTTGGCTTGTGGCGGAGCTGCTTGAGCTTGGGATGCCACAGCTTGCAAGATCGACGCTGCGAGTTGGGGATCAGGGGAGGCATTGGCAGCCGCAGAAGGGGATGGCATCGAGGCAGAGGGTGTTCCGGGACTTGGTCGTCTAAACATAGAGTCTATAGTCGGTCGCAATGCCGCTCCAAAAGGCGTCGAGAGGAAATCGGAAGGCAGGTCTGTCGGTGACGTAGTTAACTAACGCAATCCACAACACGATATCTGGCCACTCACCTTTGATGAAGGCAGGTATATTCTGTCCAGTCAAGAACCCGACGCAGTCATCAGTAAACGAGTTGCAATTAAATTCTGTTCGTGCATTAGACCGGATTTTGCGGTCAATAAAGGAAGTCGATACCTAGAAGATGATACTGTATGCGGTTCAGCAGAGATGCACAGGTAGGGAACGACGAGTACTCACCTTGTCAGCAGTATAATGGTCCCTCATTTCTTGTAAATATTCGTTGAAGGTATCTTCGTCCAACGACGTCTCCCCCATGTCGAAAACCTGGAGAGGTTGGCCGTGCTGAAAGTAGGATCAGTACTAAGAAGTTCGTTCAGTCGATTCTGACAGAGACGTACATGGGAGCGACCAGGTGGCGTTATGCTTATTCCCTGGCCATAAAATATCTCCTTCCCGAACACCACCACTGAGGTATGCCTAGTTAGTTATCATTTTCAGCTTGGTCTTGATCAGAGAAGTTGAGCCGTCCTACTTACCAGATGCCGTCTATTTGTCTTCCCGTAAGTTGTCGAGATAGCTGTCGGGCCAATCCATTGCTGAGATCATACACATAAAGTTTAACTGGGGCCATTGTTAAAAAAGGTGTGAAGGATAAGGATAGTAGGGTGATTCTAAGTGTTCGTGAAGAGAAGAGCACTGCCGCAGATATTTCGGGAATCTCGGAGAACGGACGCGTCATGATGGTAGTCACGTGGCGGTGCAGTGACCTTACCGCCCGGTCCCGTCGGCAATGTACAGCCGGGCCGCCGCTGTTTTCGACCTCTGAGATCTGAGTCTCAACCCAGTACTTTGTTCGGTAAACCCTCTCAACTGCTAACATGGACCTGAATTACGATCTAGATGTTTTTGGGCAACAGCCAGGACTCAGCAATCTGTACACTCAGATTTCCTGTTGCTTTTCCGTGGCCGATGCGTCTTCACATACAGCGATCATCAACACGTTGACGAATGGTCTTGAACGACTGTCTGCGAGTTTTCCATGGGTAGCAGGCCAGGTCGTCAACGAAGGTTCAGGCGAAGGAAATTCAGGGACCTTCAAGATAATACCATTGGAAAGAATACCTCGTCTGGTCGTGAAAGATCTCCGAAATGATCCATCGATGCCAACAATGGACGCGCTCAGACGAGCTAACTTTCCCTTCAGCATGCTCGACGAAAGCATCGTTGCACCTCGCAATACCCTCCCAGGAAGCCCTGACGGGTCCCCATCACCAGTTTTCCTTCTCCAAGCCACTTTCATCACGGGCGGTCTCCTGCTCACCTTCGTCGCCCAGCACAATGTAATGGACATGACTGGCCAAGGTCAGATCATCGATCTCTTGTCGAAATCTTGCTGCAACGAACAATTTACAAGTGAAGAGCTCTCATCCGGAAATCTTGACCGCCGTAACATTATTCCCTTACTCGACGACTCCTACAAGCCAGGCCCCGAGCTCGCTCACCAGATGGTAAAACCTACTCCATCACAAACCATCTCTAAGGACTCCAATGCCCACCCAGAATCGGATCCCCCTTCAAAATGCTCCTGGGCATACTTCACCTTCCCCTCTCACTCCCTCGCCGCTCTCAAGTCGCTCGCTACAATAGATGCAACCCTCGCCTCAGGTTATATCTCTACCGATGACGCCCTCAGTGCCTTTATCTGGCAATCCATCATCCGCGCCCGCCAACCCCGCTTAAAACCTACAGGTGAGGTAACATTCGCCCGAGCTATCGATCCACGGCGCTATCTCGATATTTCGCCCACGTACCCAGGAATTGTGCAGAACATGACATATCATAAGCGCACGGTTCAGAAGCTGGTCGAGGATCCTTTGGGCGCTATTGCATCCGAACTTCGTTTGGCCGTCGACCCCAAAACATCGAATCTGGGGTACCAGACCCGTGCTCTTGCGACCTTCCTCGATCGCATACTAGACAAAGGCAACGCCTCCGTTACAGCGACGATTAATCTGTCAACAGACATCATGTTGAGTTCGTGGGCGAAGCAAGATTTTTATGACCTTGATTTCAACCTTGGACTGGGTAAACCTGAGGCCGTGCGGAGACCGCGATTTACGCCAGTCGAGAGTTTGCTATATCTTATGCCTAAGGCGTTGGATGGTGAGGTTGCGGCTGCGCTTTGTTTGAGGGATGAAGATATGGAGAGGTTGAGGGCGGACGAGGAGTGCGCGAGGTATGGGAGATATATCGGGTGACGGATCGACCACAAGAATAATGAGAGGTGAGAAGACATTTGTCAACTAGGTGTCGTGCAGTTCCTTCGCATTCGCTATTTCGAGAGAGGCCCAGCGCTTACTTACCAACTTTTGGACGGTATGCAATGCGTCAATAACCCAGCCTTGACAACCGAAAAGGTTTTTCTAGAAGAAACCTTCTTGACGTTGGTTTATAAATATCTTGCTGAGCTGTCCTTATCTTCAGCTGCATCCTCATTCACTTCCAATCCAATTTCTTGGATTTCAAGGTAGAAGGCCTTTTTCCTAGGGTTTGACGGCCTCCCGCGGCTGGTTGCCAACTAAGTACCTGGCAATGTCGAACATACTCCATAGATGGGGCATCACGGTGAGCTAAGTGTCTCTCTCTCGATTTCTTATATCATCTGGCTGCCAACCAATTGAAAACCCGCTGCCATCTATTCCAAACTCAATCAGAGATAGTGAGCCCGAAAGAAACGCGATGTTCGGTGGTTTTACCTAGACGTTCAACCCGAGTCCACATGGTGAGTCGTGACACCCATGCCGCCAGAAGGATACCAGGTCTTTCCTCACTCCAATTCGCCATTAACTCGAGTCTCGAAAGGTAGACTAGCGCTGAAATCGGCCTAGATTGTGTGTTGCGTTGGATGAGCCTTTCGGTGAGCCTTTCGGCGTCTCTTGTTGCAACGAATCATCTCGTCTAAGCCGATGCCTCCGAGATCTGGGCCTTGCAAGGCGCCAAAGATCGACTGGCTGCATTCTTCAACGGCATTAGACTGTGAGTGTTCTCTACGTGAACTAGTCTTCTCCGCTGTACGGCGTAAAAGGTTAAGACTAATTGAATTCAGCGCCGGAGCCCGAGGTCTGCTGCAACATAGGGGTCGAGTGGACTGCTCCGAGACATTTCTCTTGTACGTCCTCTCTGCCTAGGCGTCCTTCGATTTGAATTGGAGGCCTTTCTAGAAGGATGTGTTATATTGTGAGGCTTCTCAGGTTGGCGTCTTTATCACCTGAATATGTCGTTCGGACTTTAACTCGTCTGTCTAGATCTGTGAAGTATCATTGACGGGCGCTCAATCGAAGCATAAATTATGACGACTATTCTCGACGGTTCCGTTTGCACGATTTGCTTCCTTCTGGCGTTTGCTCGCGTGTCTCGCACGTCACTAATAGGAGGTTGGCCGCCGTTCCTCCTTGGCTGATCCATTGCCCACGAAGAAACCACGAATCGCTGATCCATTCATTTAGAATTCCAGGGTCGCGATGATAGTTCACTGGCCGCCACGACCGACCGAGAAAAACCCTGAAAACCTCATGAAAACGGAAGAAGCCCCTTTCTGCGGTTCGCCAATTGGATGCGATCGGGCAGCAGATCCCCTGGCGTATGCAGAACCGCTCGACTATAATGGCGCCCTGACGAAGGCGAACTCAATCTTCCTCCCTCCCGACCACCATCGAGGAGCGGCGCGCACGCCATGTCGCCAACAATCATCACCCTCAGCGAGTCGACCTACCTGGAGTTCCCCCAGGAGCTTGCGGACCACGTCATCCAGCTGCTCCAGCACGACTTGGTGTCTCTGAAACACTGCAGCCTCGTGTGCCGCTCGTGGCTTTACTCGAGCCGTATACACCTCTTCCGGACGCTGTCGTTGACGCCTAAGAAACTGCAACATCTTCTAGAGGTCATCGACGCCACACTCTTTCCCGCCATCCTCCCATACGTCAGACGCGTTCATGTCTCCAGCGACGCACACACACCGGCTCCAAACGTCCTCGCCCTCTTCGCAAAATCCACCCCGATGCTCACCCACCTACACCTCCATTCACTCTTTTTCATCAACTTCCTCGACCTCCTCGACCTCATATGCTTGTTTCCATATTTGCAATCCCTCGTCCTGGAGCAAGTTTGTTGGGAGGCCGGAGGGTCGGGGAAGAACCGCGCAGAGATACAGAGTCGAGTCTTACCACCGTTCGTTGACCACCTTCGTTTACGTAACACTCCCTTGCGCGAGTTGTTCACCTGGATCGTCCTCCACCCCAAACTGCCAAAGGTCTCGCGCCTCGACGTCGGGCCTATCGAGGAGTACGACACGCCGTACGTCGGCAAGTACATGTTTCAAATCGGCTCCTGCTTCGAGCATATGTCGTTTTCCTTCGGGTTCGGCGAGAAGGGGCACATCTGCGCCACCGACTTCATCGACAAGATGCGCGCCGCGTCGGCGCGACCGCACTACCAGCGTCCCGCGAAGGTGACGATGGCCGACCGGTTTTGGGAGGTGTTCGGGATCGACCCTTGCGAGGGCATGTCCACGTTCACGAGCCTTCGCACCCTGCGGATCGACAATCTCGTAAACGACACCTACGCGCATCAGAGCACGGCGCTGTTCTGGGCCCCGCGCGTCATCTCGTCAGTGCGCTCGTCGAACCTCGCCCACATCGTCTTCACCATCCACATCTCCCGCACCGGCGTCCTCGACAAGTACGACGTCAACTGGGAATATTTCGACGAGGTTTTCGCGAGCGAGTATTATACGCGGTTGCGATCAGTTCATTTTGAGATCGGCGGACGCGTCAATGTGGAGAGCGTCGCGAGTCTGATATCCTCGAGGCTTCCACGTGCAGCGAGCCGCGGTATCCTTTCGTTTCAAAAGTTATAACGTTAAGTATGTATTGTATTTTTTATTTTTTACATTATTTGGAAAAGGTTGTACATCAGGCCATTTTATTGATAGAGTGGACGACTTTCCTTAACGAATTTGAGGCTCTAAAGTAAACAACGGGGTGCCAGCGTCGGGGATTGAAAGAGAGAAGGGGAGTTTCCAGACGTTGAGGCCTGGAATTTCGCGCCTGGTGAAAGGGCAATGAGGCATGAATAAAGCATGCCGAAGGCTGCGGTTGTCAGGAACATTCATAAAAGGGAAAGTTGAAGCCTGGAATGAGACTTTAGAGCTAGGAAGGGGGTGCTTACCCTCCTCCTAGATTTTTCGTTTGAAACGAACCTTGAAGAGAACGGAGAACGAAATATTTTCCGGGGTCCTGACAGGCGACAGCGGCATCCATCGGCCTCACCCTTTGAAACGAGAATTTGCATTTAGAACGGTCTCCAAACGTTAAGGAAAGTCATCCAGTACGTACTAACAAGCGAATACACGTTGAACTTGTACACTTTCAAAGCATCATATCGACATCGTCTTCAAACTGTAATGCACCTCCAAACCCTCGCATTTCTCTCGCAAATATTCCATCCTCTCCCTACAGGTCGGTTCGGACGAAATATTGTGCAATGACGCAGATTTGATTCGCGCAAATGGTTTGTCTTCATCATACACAAACATGCACTCCTTGTCCGCTGGCCACCAACGTGATTCAACCAGGGAGAGAAACAAGGACTCGGTGTTCCGCGTGAGATAGAGAGTAATACCGAACCGCTCTAGTTTGGGAAGACAAAGTCGATTGTCATCGGCTGAGAGGGTGAGAGCTTTGAGGAGCGTCTCCACCTGTGAGGCCCGCTCTGTCGTCTGGATGCGGAGCTCCTGCAAGCTGTCCATCGAACCTGCGAAGGACAGGAGTCTTGATGGAAGATAAGAAATTGATTGGGAACTCGCTGCTCGACAACCGAAACTCTTGAAGCTTGCCCATCGAGATTGGCGGGTCGAAAGCATTGTTGAGGAACGGATCGGGGAGGTCGAAGGCCAAGGTATATTGTTCCAGCAGAACGCATTCACGTAGAATGTCGAGATACTCCTTGGGAGAGGAGTCAGTCTTGAGATCCAGTGCCGTTAGTTGCGACCAGGGTATCGTAAATGGCCGCCCATCAATTGTGTGGCTGTCAATGTCCTGGCGATCAAGGTGAAGGGAGAGCCTTCTGAGGCGCGGTAAACAGAAAGCATCGCCACCGTGGATCTTTGTTGCCGCCGCCCAAGCGTGTCTTGCAACAAGCGAAAGATTTTCAAGTTTATCCCAGACGTAGTACCCACTGAAAACGTGCTGGAGGTCAACAGGATTTTGGCTTGTAATCGACAGGCTCTTCCACCTGTCCTTGTTGACGACCTTGAACAGGGTCTGGACCAGCGCGGCCTCCCTCTCCTTCCGCTCCCGGGCTCCCCATCGAAAATCGGCCAATGGAGGAGACCTCAAGGGTTCGTACTTCAGCGTTAAGGGTAGGCTACCAGCGTGTGAGACGCGTGAAATGGTTTGTTCGATCGATGGTGGAACTGGCTCTCTGGTGTTCTCCTGGTCGCTAAAATCCAAGGTTGACCACAGGGACGGTATTCGAAGGACGACGTTCCTCCAGTGTCGGCATACGTGAGACAACCGTAGACGTGTCTGAGAGTCATCCAGCGCGGCGTGCATAAATATTTCTCCTAGGACCTCGGGTGGTAAAGATCGCAAAAGCGAAAGCGGGCTGAGGTGCTTGGTCCGCTGGTCCAGCAGGGCATTCCGTTGGGTAGTCGTCTCGACGAGCTCGGTAATCAGGCGGGACAGACGCGCGTCCAGGCTCCTGAGGTGGATATCGATCTCCTGGATGGATGTCCTGAGTGTCGACGCTTCTCCCGGAGAGATAACATAGTGGTTGCGGAGCATTGCGTCGAGGGACGACTCGTCCATCGAACATAAACCAGCACGGTAATTCAACGTGTCCAGACAAGCAGTAGATGAGTTGTCAAAGTCAAAGTCAAGCTACCTACGTCACAGACGGCACACGGTTGCATCAGTCCCAGGCCCGCCTGACAGGCCAGATCTATGCCATTTCAGACTAAGTATGAGGTGAGATGAAAGAAAGTTGTTCTGTATCAGAAGTCGGCTCCAAAAAAAAAAGAAGAGAGGCGGTTAACGCACCTGGAGCCTGAGGTGGGCTGCGAGTGCTTGTGCCCATTCGCCGCTTGTGGTGTGGCGAATGTCCAGATCCGGACATTGGGTAGAGAGGTTTTGGAAGCGGCCCTCTAGCATGAAGCGCGTGTCGAGTGTTGCTATAAGGACCGCTTGCTTCAGCTTGCGTTTGGGAGCAGTGGCAGTGCCTTGGATAACCGCGTCGTTCCAATAGCGTGACTTGACAAAATCCATGAAGAGTTCTTCTGTCCCAGGCACGTCCACGATGCTTGGTAGGAGGGGCACGGCGAGTGCAAAAACTTCGAGGTTCGGTAGGGTCTGGTTAGAGCGTGAGAGGGTAAGGAACTGGAAGAACTCCTCTTCGACCGGGTACGTGAGGGGTCGGAAAGAGTGGAGCTTGATTTCACTGAGGAGAGGCATTTGAATCCAGGATTCGTGTAATTCATCCAGGTCCGCGTCTTCGATCTCCAATTCAAGAGCCATGAGGGTGTTGGCGGCACGGCGAAGAAAGGGGATCAATTGAGGTTCCCAATAAACGAAGGCGTCTGTGTAATCACCCTTGATCCTGAAGGTGAACCTTCGCAATAATGGGGTCTCCGTCACCGGAAGAAGGCCGGACGGAAACGCGTTGGCGTATATCGAAAACTGCTGAATCTTGTCGAGTTTGATGGGCTGAAACGTTGTAGAGTGGAAGACATCGTCTACATCCAGCCAGACGGAGCAGCGCTCTACAAGAGTACAGCGGCGAAGGATTTGAACAAACTCCTCCAGCCCTATTCCCGTTTCGAGTATGAGGCCGGTAAGTTGTGACCAAGGAACTTGTAGGCCCGGGGGGTAGAAGTCTGGGCTTGAATAAGCCACCTTATATTCCTTCAGAGCTGGAAAAGTATATTTGCAGCGGCCGATGTGGCCGTCATCGAGGCAAATGGAGAGGGTCTTGAGATTGGTGAAATCTACTCTCTCTTTCTTCTTGAATGGAAGGTAGCTACCATGAGGGACGTGCATTGAAATCGATGACCATCGTCCTTCAACACCGGATTTCAGAATGGATATGAGAAATGCGCTTGGTAGATAGGTGTGCTTGTAGTCGAGTGTAATCGGCAGTGCTCCAGCACGACGAATCCGCGAGAGTATCTGCTCCATGGAGGGTGAATACAAGGGTTTGTGACGTTTGCTGATCACGAACGTAGTCCACAGAGATGGACATCGATATGCAATCGTCCTCCAATGCTTGCACACATTGCAAATATCCTGCCGTACTAGCATGTCGTTCTCGCACGCGAACTTGAAGATTTCTTGTAGTATCTCGACCGGAAGCGTCCGTAAGGGGGACAAAGCGGAGCTACACTTGCTTTGTTGCTCCAGCAGCGTAGCCTGTTGCAGTTTTAGGTCATCGGTGGCCTCCTGGAGGAGAGAAATGTTGCCAGCAATTATCGAGAGGTCGTTTTCAGTCTCTCGAAGCACAGACGTTACCCAAGCTGCTTCTCCAAGTGGAAGGCTGTAATGTCTTGCCAGGATGTTGTCCAAACTTCCGAGGTCCATTGGTAGGACGCATATAATCTGGGACGAAGAAACCAGTGAAGACGAAGCGCGGTGTAACTGTAAGTAGGTGATGACGGCATCCCGGCAAGTCACGTTTTCTGGGGAGCTTGCTCCCCTTTGTACCGACTGATCCTATATCAAGGGAACGTCAGCACTTGGCTACCACTGGTGTGGGAACCGACTTTATGTGCGGTCAAAAAGGCGTGATAGGGGTGTTAAACTTTATATACATGATTTTTCTGTGTCAATAAAGTTCAAATAAAGTTACAATAAAATCTTCCTTTCCCATGGTCATAATTTTCCGAAAATTGTTACCTTCGAGGTAATTAGTAATGACTAAATTTACCCGTCCTTTTGTTGCTCCGGAAAAGACAATAAAAGCGTGGAATTTGGGACGACAAAAAGGATTGACATAAAGGATTCGGGGATACTATAAAAGGAAAGCCCGAGCCATTTATATTAATTTTTGTTCACAATTAAAGGCATCAGTTACCTAACAATTATAGACGAGCATAAAGTGTTTATATAAAGGGCTCAGGCTTTCCTTTTATAGTATCCCCGAGTCCTTTATGTCAATCCTTTTTGTCGTCCCAAATTCCACGCTTTTATTGTCTTTTCCGGAGCAACAAAAGGACGGGTAAATTTAGTCATTACTAATTACCTCGAAGGTAACAATTTTCGGAAAATTATGACCATGGGAAAGGAAGATTTTATTGTAACTTTATTTGAACTTTATTGACACAGAAAAATCATGTATATAAAGTTTAACACCCCTATCACGCCTTTTTGACCGCACATAAAGTCGGTTCCCACACCAGTGTACTTCATGCGATCATTAAGCTTGGCTAGCCAGGCTAGACTGATCCCTAAATTCCTTAAACCACATGGAAACCGCTGGTTTTTTTGTACTTGTTTGGATTGAGGGCTTTTGTACCCCCGTGGGAGTAAGCATGCCAAGCCTTCAAGTTGCGTTTGGTGTTGGGATTCGGCAAGCTCCCCACCAGTCTGTGAGGTACGACGGAGTCGTACAATTATCGCAGACAGGCTTGTGGGGAAGCCGCGGGCCCCAGTGTACGTTCTATCAAACACGTGACGCGTTCGCGTCGCCGCAGTCGACTCGACACCTGCACCTCCGGCAAGTTGCCCGGGATCCTGGAATGGTCCAAATTTTTGATTTACACTTATAGAACATATTTCTCCAAAGGGTTCTTGTTTTACTCGACTGAATATCGATAAATCCTGTGGGCTCGCACTGTCATCTATGGCCGCGAGAAGCTTGGAATGAAAAGCGATCAATTTTTCCAATTCGAAGCTGAGAAAATCCCTCATATTTTAGAGTATACATCCGTCTAAATCATCTAAAGATATTCCTATGCCAGATACACGAGAAATGACTAAAGAGCCAAGAGCCAACATCTGGTCTCTGCGATTAGCAAGCCTCTCCGGAGCCAGCGTCGGATGCAGCGAGGGCAGTCAAGGACAGCTCCAGGAGATAATCATGACTTGCGAACTTATCGGTGTCAAGAGGGAAAATGGTGGAATTGAATTGCGATCCCGGTAGTGTCGCTGCGCGTCTGAGACAAAAAGGTAGCAGGACTGCAATGCATGCAGGGCAGAGCGAATTCACATTGTCAATGGAGCATTATCGGTTAGCTCAAGGACACTGAGCTGATTCCGGAACAAGATCATACATGACTTTTCAGAACCACCTGTATAAAGGTCAATAAAAGTCTTGTATGTCGATTCGTCGAAAGTCGTGACAATGATATCCTGAACCCTGTGTTCGGGCTTGTTATGAGGGAGATATCAGAGGGAATAGTAGAGAACGAGGTAGAAAAGGACTCCAAATCACCTTGAAGGGTGTGTTGTTTAATGAACCCGGGAACTGAGGAGACCGCTTGACATAAAATGCCACGTTCCCTATACGATATCGCGAATCAACGAACATCAGCAAATCGTGATTTTGAAGGTCAAAATGGCCTCGATTTCAGTGGTATAGCGTGTTATGGCATAGCACTGTAATGCATGTCCTTATCTATTGGGATGCCCCCCCCAATTGTGGAGTGCTACGTACCCTCGTATAGCACGCATAACGAAATCAGGAATTGCTGATGAAAGGTGGCAGGTCTGCTAGCAGCAGGGGGAGCACATACCATACGATAAAGAGACCTCATGCCTTGCATCGGTTGGGAAGATTCACCTCTAGAAGCCCTGTCCCTGTTGGTTAAATCCCAGTCAGTGAGGATCCCTTGACCTTGCTGCCAGTGGGTCATGGTGATATTGTTGTCGCTGATATCTCGGTGGGGATGAGCACAGAGGTGGAAAGCACCATGATGGGATTTAGGAAGAAAGTCGTAAGAAAACGTTAGGGAGGGAGGGAAAGAAGAAACGGAAACTTCAATAGCATTTGTTACGACTTTAAGCAGCTCCTTCGCATTTGCAAATTCTGCAAGTCATCTTGCCGTGAAGTTCTCTTGCACACGATGATGGGTTCAAGGAGGCAGAACCACAGGAGGACTGAATCTCTGGGAGGCACCCCTGCTGGCAATTGATATGCCCGAGCTTGGCACACAGTTCTCGTTGGGCTCTTTCTTGAAGATGTAACGCTCCTCGATCCCACTCGGAGGCTGATACATCCGCAAGGTGGTTTTCGGAAGAGAACAATTGTGAACTCTTGCGTGAACTCGGAGCGGTGAACGCTTGCGTCTCTTGTCCAGTGGTGGCACCGTGGCAGAGCAAGATTTCGTAATGAAAAATTTCTGCATGAGGACGACTTGAAGGTGAAACGTTAAACGTTAAGCAGGGATGCCACTGGTACTCTAGAAGCTCGAGTTCAAAGGGTTCCCACGGTACAGCCACCACATGAACCGCATCTATCGATCCGGCGCTGAATCGTGTCTCAAGCCCCCTTAAACCCCTAACGACCTAGTCTATTCGTAGCGAGCGTAAAACTATCTGTGCAGGGATAGTCAGACTGTCGATGCCGTATTTGGCACCGAGTCACATTAGTCGAGAATCGATGTTCAGGTCAACTCTGAGATCACCACATCAACTGATGGGGGTCCAGGAAAGGGAAATGTTACTTAATTTAGCATCACGATCAGCGCTCCTCTTCGAGCGGATGTCCTTGACATGAAACTCGGACTGGTAGCATACTCAGATTTGGAATGGTATGTAAACCATGGCGCGATCAGATCAAACATGCTGATTTCTATCTAAAACAAAAATAAAGGGACAAACAAATGAAATACATGCATAAGACTTGACCTCAATGCCCATGTTCAACATCCCAACCTCTATCGACGCTTGGAGCTGGAAAGCTGCGAGTTTTTCTTGGGAGGTCTACCAGACCCAGATGCTCTACCCTTCTTCGGCGCTGGTAGGTCATCGCCAGCAGGCTCGATTTCCGCAGGACGTTTGAGCGTTGGCAATTGCTTAGTTGTCTTGATTGGAAGATGGGGAACCAACATCGTGGGGCGACGATCATCCGACCATTGTGCGTCAGGAGCAGCAAGGGCGGTTGTGCACAGCTGCAGGAAGTAGTTGTGGTTTGCGAGCTTGTCAGTGTCTGGAGGGAAGAAGGTGGGGGGCTTTCGAGCGGGAGAGCTCGCAGCCCGATGCTGGCGTTGAAGGGAGGAGAGATAGGAATAAAAGTCTCCCAAGGCATTCAGAGCAGAGCGAATCCATTCAGACAAAGGTCCATTATTGGTCAACGTGAGGCCATCGAAGGCATTCTCGAACAGGATCATGTTTTGCTTTCCAGTTCCACCGGTATATAGTCCAGTAAACGTCTCGTATTCGCATTGCTTGAAAATCTTGACGATGATGTCCTGGACCTCGCCAGATTGTTTGTCGTGTGGAAAGTATTGAAGAGAGTAGTAAAGGATGACGTGGAAGAAAGATTCTAAGTCGTCTTGAAGGGTATGAAGCTTATAGGGATTTACGAGAAGAAGGCCCGACATGAAGTACCAAGTTCCCTACGAAATAGACGGCATCAGGAAAAGATGCAAACACGAAGAGGGATATCCTTACTGTCCGATAGGCGTGTCTGGCACCTGGAAGTGGGTCAGGAGGCTTCTGTCCAGGAATGCCGACTCTCTTAGCCATGTCCCAGTCACTGAGAATACCACAATCGGCGTCGGTGATCATGATGTTATTGTCGCTGATATCTCGATGGAGGAAGCCGCAAAGATAGAGAGCATCGTGATGAGCTGTAAAGACATTATAGTTAGAAGTCGATACCAACGTCGGGTAGAGATGAAATCTCACCTTCAATAGCGTGCATCACAATTGTAAGGAACTGCCTTGCGTTTGTGAATTTCGAAAGACGCTTCCCAATAAAGTTCTCCAGGAATCGATTATGGGCTCGAGGAACGAGGACCGCAAGACGTCCTGCACGCCAGGACGCATTCTCGAACTCATGCGAGACAGTAGTCTGGCGCGATCCAAGAACGTCGCCGCCGTCGACGAACACAGGCACGTTCCGCACCTGCTTCTCGTTAAGCTCCTTGAGAATGTCGGACTCCTTGTCCATCCCTGGAAGGTCCACTCGCCAAGTATCCTTCAGAAACTCGATCTTCCCCGTCTTCAAGTCGTACACAGGGAAAGCCCGCGTCGCACGTCCAGTCACAGAGTCAGGCTCCATCATACAGTCTCTTCCGACGACCAGGCGCTCAGCCCCATCTGCAGTTGGGACACTGAGGGTGATGTAGGGACGGGGAGTCTCGCCACGAGGGAGGTATGGAGCCAACGCAGTTTCCGCCTTGCCAATTTCTTCGGGGGTCGAAGGGCGTACAGAGGTGTCCATGCCACGCTGCGCGTCGCTCATGCGAGAATATCGCCAGAAAAACTCGGCCAGCTTCTTCGACTCCGTGCGGTAGTCGATCGCTTCAGTGACGACGATCGCGCTGCGGTCGTTGTACAGAAATCGCACCTCCTTGTGGTTCAGGAAGACCATGAACGAATGAGTGCGATACTGACGCGCACATATCTCCGCCATCACCAGTCCGATTTGACCACGACAGTCCTCCGCAAGATCACCACGGTTCTCAAACTGGTGCTTCTGGCGCTCTTCGGGGCTACAATTCGGTTTGGGATCCGAGAACGGGAAGACGTTCGTCTTGACTTCGATGTACAGGTCCAGCTTCTCGAAATTCGTTGGCTTGTCGTCAGATATCTTCTCCGTATCCGCCTTGCGATACCCAGCAATGTCAGGTTTCCACTTCTTGTGCAAGAGTGAATCGTGATCATCGAAGGAGGATGAGTTGAAGAAGGCCATAGACGGCGCGAGGTTCGCATCTTTGATGCAGTTAACCTAAATAGAAGACGTTCAAGAATCGAAGAAGTAAGTGAAAGAGCAAAGAACACGTACGAAGGGGAGATACATCTTATCTTCTGGTCCTGTTGGGATAGTGGCGAAGTAATTTTCGTCGACGACGCCGACGGGAGCGGGATCGTCAGTGCTCATGAACTTTTCCATGAACTCATTGTAGGGCATCGGCCCCACCCAGTGACCTCTCAGTTCGACTTCCATGATATTCCTTGCCTCCTTGTAGCCGACTTTGCGAGCTTCCAGCGGATTGGAGTTAGATCGATTCTTCGGAGGCGTGCTTTGAGTGCCCGAAGACGCCTGGGCGCTAGGTTTTTCGTTTAGAGAAGTGGGTGGAGTCATGGTTAAAATGAAGAAACTTACTGGATATGCGGCTACTTATAAAGTGCGAAGGTGCCACAAATCTGCTGGTGGCCTTGGTAAATCCTGTGGCCTTGCGACAAACAATGGAATTGCTACGCAGACGAGTCAGACATTGCATCAATAGTCAGGTGGGTGACCTACCAGAGATCGATAAGCAATGGTCGCTCGCCTTTACTACCAAGGCTAGTGATCGTCGTTCCAGTTCAAGAGGTGTTGATGGCATTTCGCGGCCACGTGGATCAGATGCCCATCACATCAGGGCAGGCCAAATCGCGTTCTAAGCCCCTGAATGTGTCTTCAAGAACGTAGATCCACAACATTGCACTTAATTCACCACTGAATATTCATGGGAACCCTCATGGTCTCACAATGCTTTACCTCCCTCCCAAAGAATGGTTTGGTTCCATCTTGTATGTGATCGCAGACACGCTCCGGGAGGTTGGCGCTCACTGCTAGCGAATGTAGTACGCTGTATTGGCGAGTATGTCTTGCTTAATGTATGGAGCCCTCCCAATCTCCTAACGATGATATATTCGATACCAGTGTTTACGTTAACTGCTGTCCAACAGACATTAGAATGAGGTTCTCGAGGACATAACAGGAAAAATCTTTGTCAGGGAATAACTTCGAGTTAAAGATCGATGATGCCCTCTCACTCCTTTTTGTGGTTCTCGAGCCTTGAAATCTCGCATTAGAAGTAATTATGGACGCCTCGTAAATGCTTGAAATGTCAAAAAAAAATTGAATGACGGTCG